ATGTTCTTGAGAAGAGTGGTAACTCGTTCAATTCAGGTTATTTTTCTGTGACCAATTATTATCTGCATTTACTGAGAGCTAAGTATGGAGACCTGTATTATCAATAACTGTTGGTACATTGCAGAAACAGTAACAGCAACTTCACTAACAGCAGATATTAACTTCGTACTAGTTACAAGGGCAATCAATGTCAAATGATGTGAAGGATAGACATGATATAATAACTATCTTCAAATCAATTAGGAGTGGTGAGGAGGCTGTGAATAAGATGCTTATATATGGAATTATAAGGATATAGAATGATCACAGGAGGTTTTGTACAATTTCATAAATGTCTAATTGTCAAATGTTTGGATCACAAAATCAGAATTATATAGTAGTTCCTGTGGTCTCCACAAATGGATAATTTCCATTTATAGGTTTCTAAAAATAAAATATCTTAATGATACTTAGGAATGATATTGCACTGTAGCATTGTAGTCCTGTTGTTCATCCATTTGCTTGAGTGGGCACCAGCAATTGTCTCCATTGTGAACCTTGTTGTTAGTTTTTGTCTTTTTTTGTTTTGCTTTTTTTGGGGTCACACCCAGCGATGCACAGGGGTTACTCCTGGCTCTTCACTCAGAAATTCCTCCTGGCAGTGCTCGGGGGACCATATGGGATGCTGGGAATCGAACCTGGGTTAGCCGCGTGCAAGGCAAACACCCTACCTGCTGTGCTATCCCTCCAGTCCCAGTTGTTACAGTTTTTGGTATATCGAATATACCAGGGGGAACTTGCCAGGCTCTGCAGTGCAGGTGGGATATGTTCAGTAGCTTGCCAGGCTCTCTGAGAGGGATGGAGGAATTGAACCCGGGTGGGCCGCATGCAGGGCAAATGCCTTACCGGCTGTGCTGTTGCTTCAGCTGGGAGGAATGATATTACCTTAAATATTTGCATAATCTACCACTCAAAAATCCATATATCAGCTTATAAGCAAGAGAAATTCCTATATAAAGTACATATACAAGAATTTTTATAACACACAGCAAAAAGAAAGGAAATAGCCCAATTACTTTGATAGAAGAATACAAAATATTATTGTGTGTTGTGTCAAAATAAAGTTATTTAGCAATGAAGTAATGAACCTCCAGCTACCTATAGCAACATGAATATATATTAGTAACCTAATATTGAAACTAAAAATTGTGCTTCAGAAAACTACATAGATAATAACCAATAAATAATGTTTATAAACAAAATAACATATTCCATAGGTGTTTATATATGTATATATATATGATTAAACTGTATAGAAAACAAAGAAAACCTAAGGGAGTACTAAAAATCAAAATTAAGGAGGGAGTAAGGAGTCTGTGTGCAGATGTGTGTGTGTGTGTGTGTGTGTGTGTGTGTGTATAAATAAAGCCATAATTTGTCAATAATATTTGGGTGGGTAGTAAATTCCAGTTGCTCATTATGTCATAATAAATTCAAAAATTAATTTTTAAAATGAAATTGTTCCATAGAAACAGTAAAGTTTTTGTGGACAATTTAGTATGAAGCTAAAACAAGAAATTTGACAGGATGTATTTTGGGTTATTATGGTGGAAATGGGCTGGAGCGATAGCACAGCTGCAGAGCATTTGCCTTGCACGCAACCAACTCGAGTTCAATTCCTTCGCCCCTCTCAGAGAGCCCAGCAAGCTACCAAGAGTATCTCATCCACAAGGCAGAGCCTGGCAAGCTACCCGTGACGTATTCGATATGCCAAACACAGTAACAACAAAGTCTCACAATGGAGACATTACTGGGCCCGCTCGAGAAAAATCAATGAACAACGGGAGGATAGTGATGGTGATGATGGAAATGTGAATATGACAAACTGAGATGACAAACTTGTGTGCTTCTCTATACATGCTTTCATAAAAAAATATAAGCAAACCAACATTTTCTCAATTCCACCCTTCCCCCCCCCCCCCCCCCCCCGGCCATTACAGTATTATAAACTTAACTAGAACTGGACAACAGGAGACAAGACTTTTTTGTAATTATCTATTTCTGGAGAATGCTGGGAAAATGCTTTAGTTCTGCACAGATGCCCTTCTTCTCTAAGTTTACCTGAGCCTTTGATCTGTTTTTACTTCAAATGTTCGTTTTTCTCTCCTGGCTCTTACTTCTTGCCATAGATTTCTACCAACCACTACATGGAAAGTATCAATTTAAGTGAAATGAGTCAGAAAGAGCGGGACAGACATAGAAAGATTGCATTCATCTGTGGAATATAAAGTAACAAAATAGGAGACTAACACCCAAGAATAGTCGAGATAAGTACCAGGAGGTTCGCTCCATGGTTTGGAGGCCAGCTGCACATGCTGGGGGAAAAGGCAGCTCAGTAGAGAAGGGAGCACCAAGTAAAGGATGTTGTGAGGATCCTCCCAGGATGGGAGATACATGCTGAGAGTAGATTATAGACCAAACATAATTGCCACTCAATGCCTCTTTTGCAAACCACAGCCCCCCAAAGGAGAGAGAGAACAAAAGGGAATGCCCTGCCACAGAGGCAGGGTGGGATAGGAGGGTGTGTGTGGGGGGGTGGAATACTGAGATCATTGGTGGTGGAGACTGGGCACTGGTGGAGGGATGGGTACTCGATCATTGTATAACTGAAACCCAAGCACAAAAATTTGTAGTCTACAACTGTATCTCATGGTGCTTCTCTAATAAAAATGAAAAAAAAAAAAGATTTCTACTAACCAGAAGAATCATCACCATCCCACTTCTATTTCCAAAGTGGTAAACATTTTTAAGTTTTTTTTTTTTATTTACAACATTAAAATAAATATTTTTTTTTACAGCAGTGTCAATGTTTTTCTTCCCAACTCTCATCCTCTCACTCCATAGTAACCTCACTTCCTAGAAACAGGCTTCTCAGGAAGGAAACTCAATATAAAGAACCGCAAGCTCCTTGCAGAGTTCATAGCCTCAGCACTTCCACAAGACCACCCAATCCACACAAAATTACTATCTTAGTTTTGAGCAGAGAGTAACAGTTCAGTTCAACAGGATTTCATTCCTCCTTAATGGCAGGACTTTTTTTTTTTTTTTTTTTTTTTGCTTTTTGGGTCACACCTGGCAATTCACAGGGGTTACTCCTGGCTCTGCACTCAGGAGTTACTCCTGGCAGTGCTCAGCGAACCATATGGGATGCTGGGAATCGAACCCGGGTGGGCCGCGTGCAAGGAAAACGCCCCATCCGCTGTGCTATCTCTCCAGCCCCATGGCAGGACTTTTGAGTGCCACTTTCCCAGAGACTTAGAAAGGCAAAATTTTCGCCACATATTGCAGGGTAAGGTTCACTTATTTCCTGTTCCTGGATCTGAAAATTGACAGTGGTATAATTTACTGCCTTAAGGGAATATTTCACCTCTGTCCGTATTTGTGTGTTTTCACCCAGTCTCAAACCATTTCAGACTTCTGGACTACAGTTCATTTCCCTAAATACTACTCACTTCTAAATAACAAGCAATGAATAAGAGTCTGGAGAAAATGCACATGCTTCATTCTTTCTATAATTCTCCATAAGCCAAACCCTGCAAGCTCAATGCCCAGAGCAATTGGGAAATAAACATGGAAGGCAAAAAGCATTTTAAACTAACATATAGCACTCCAAATTAGAAATTTCCATAGACTTCTAATTTCAAAAAATCGCATTATTTATGGTACTAAAAACATAACTTTTCACTCCGAGTCCAATTTTACTCCTGATCCTTCAGGAACTATCTGGTGAACAACTCCAGATCTAGTGAACTCAGTCTTTTAGGAGGCAAAAGTTGCTTATGCGGGAGAGAATGAAAATTATCTTTGAAGAAATACTTAAATATAAACATCTCTTTTCAAGAGGCTCTAGATAGATCAAATCTAGAGATTTTCAACCAACTGCCCACAAAAAAAAAATTCCTGTTTAACGAAAGGTGACTTTCAACCTCCTGGAACTAGTGCCTGTCTGCTCTGAAAATCACTGTTCTAATGGACAAGGCACAAATTTAAAATGTTCTGCTCTGCTTTGTTATTTATTTATTTATTTGGTAACTAGCCTGACTTGCCTTTCTCCTCCCCAAACACTTATGTTTTAGCAAAGATGACCTCGAAGAGCACATGATCCGTATACTCAGTTTTGCTGAGTGTTCTCGAGTTACATATAGAAAAAGAGCTAATAAATTTCTCTTTTTTACCAATGTACCTCATGCATATTTGTCCAGCTCCTGAAGAACCTGTACCCAAAGATTAAGGGCCCTGGCACAGTTTACTTTAAAAATTAACACTTCTGCTCCGTTCTCTGAGGCAAAAGTAGGGTTCAGTCTGAGCCAGGACACTTAAGAGCAAACCCCTACAAGACAAACGTTCAAAGAAAGACAGGGGTGTGTAGGACACGCTTAAGAGCTTTCTTTTCCACAAGGGCTTCTAGAATCCTTCACCAGCCTTAATTCCCGAGTTTGTCCCCTTTGCAAACTCCTGTTTGGCCTGTCTCGTAAACTCTTCCGGGCCTTGCCTTCTGAATTGTAAACGTCTTGCTCACAGACTGATTCATCCCCAGTCCCCAGCAGAGTGCTAGGCAAAAGAGGAGGCGTCCAAAAATGAATGAATGGGTTCGTGGAAGGGGGTGGGGGGGACGGGGGGAAAGGGCTAGGTTTCTACAGACACGACTAGGAAAAACACAAAGGTCACAAAACGCAACCGCAGAACTCAAGGCGGGCGAGACGCGCACTGCGAACGAGCTCCCGAGGCGTAGAGAAGAAACACACCCGCTCCCCACCCCGCCCCCAGCCTTGAGGCGAGAGGGGAAATAGAAGCGTTCGGGAAACCCGGAAGTGCCTGGTCACGCCTCGCGCATGCGTGCACCAGCTCAGCGGGCTCGGCAGCCAGTGAGAAAAGCCGAACCGGGCTCGCCAGCTCCGCAGCCCCGCCCTCGCGCATGCGCCGTGAGCCGACCTGCTCACGGGTGGGGCGGGGCAATTTTTTTTTTTAATTTTTTTCCTCCCCTTTCTTACTCCCGCCCCTCTTCTTCCCCCGCCTGCCACGTACTGGGCCCGACTTCTCGCTAGGCTCGGTGGGTCTGTGTGATTGGCCCGGGCCGCGCGAGGCGACGAGCAAGGTGCGGCGGCCTTAGAGGGCAAACGAGTGGGCCGTGGCCGTAGCCTGCCTGCGCCCGACGCCCGAGGCCCCGGCGGCGGCTTTTTTCCTCAGCCCGGTGCCTGGAGGTCGGCGGAGAGAGGCGGTAGAGGCTTCCTCAGCCCGCCGGTACGGCCGGAGTCGGGGGGTGCGGCCGCTCTGATGCGGTGGGCAGAGACACCCGGGGCCTGAGGGAAGGGCTGCTCGGCGCCGCCGGCTGAGGGAGACCGGGCGGGGGGCTCGTGGCGGTGGGAGGTGGGGAGGCGGCTCCCTTGGGAAGGGTCCCTCAGACGGCGTCTGGCGGGGCCGCCGCGGGCTGACGCGCTCGTTTGCTTCGCCCCCTCCCCTCCGAAGCGGCCGAGAGGCCGAGGAGAGAGCAGAGGGACTTCGTGGGGGGAGGGGGGTGTGGACCCGAGGGGGCTCTTCTGTTTAGCGCCCCTCCCCCCTCCTCTCTCTGAGGGGCTTGGGGCGGGGTGTGACGGGGTCGAGGGTCGGGGCTGAGGGGTGTTTGGCGGCGGGGTGGGGGCAAAGTTTGATCGGGATCCTCCCACGGAACCGAATCTCGTTCCTCTGGGCTGTGTCGAGAGGCCCAGTCAGAGCGCGGATGGTCGCGTAACTTTGGGAGAGTTGTTGGCTCCGGGACGCAGCCGCGGCGGAGCGTTCGCCAGCTGGAACTGCCGGACGCGCCCGAACCTGGCCGAAGTTAGATCGGGAGGGTTCCCCCGCGTCCCCGCCGCCTGGCCGGCACTGAAAGTGCTCACCCAGCCCCTGGTGGGATTCTGGTACCCGGCTTACTACACGCCCCTCCCCCTCCCCCCCCTCCGCCTTTGCAGTCTTTGCTCTCCGATCTACTAGGCTTGATGAGCTTTTCCTTATAGCGCCTTTCTCAAGGAAATTGCTCTCCTCGGGAGATGAGCTAAGGACCTTGATCATCCCCCCCCCCCCGCCCCACCCCGGCCCCCCAGCCCCAGAATTAGTTGGAACTGGGGTGGGGAGTTGGGGGGGAGTGGAAGGGGGTGGAGGGGTGGGGGTTATAGCTACTGGACCTAGACGCTGGTTCAGGTGATGGGCATGCTGTACGACCTTGGTCTTGTCACTTGCCGCTCTGGGACTGAGAACAGCGTTCCTTTCGGAGATGGTTTCCTAAGTTAGCGGCGGTGTCATTTCGGGATTTTAGAGGGAGTCCGGTGAAGGACGAGATGGGAGAAGAAAATGAAAGGATTGCACCAGCCGTCCCAGAAACTCTCGTTTTGTATCAGTCTCAGCTTTGAGTCTGAAGTTGGGGGTGGGGCAGGGAGGTGGTGTGTGTCTGTCTGTCTGTGAGACGGCGGGGTGGGGGTGCGGGGACAAGGGGGAGAGGATTCCCAGAATTCTCCTGTTCGGTAAAGAAGTTATGGGGACAGGTTTTCCCCCCGTGGCGTCAATTTTTGTGTACTTTCTGGTTTGTCTTCCTTGTTGTGCGCTAAGGACATGACTGCACAAACTGGGGCCAGCCTGGGGAGGGGCAACCTGGTTCCTGGCCGCTGGGAGCTTCTTCTCACGGAGGAGAAATCCCAACGAATAAGTGAGTTTGTAGGCAAGCTTGGGGATATGAAAATAAAAGAGATGTAGGTGTTCACCAGATTCACTGGAACCCATGAACGGTCTTCCCATGATCCAGAGGGACTTGCAGTCAGAGGCGTTGTTGGGAGTTTCCTTGATGAGCAGGTCTACCATGGGGATCACTTCTAGGTATATAAGGAGAACTGTGAATGTGTGACTTAGGAACCGCCACCATCTTACAGCTTTCTTCTCGAAGTCCTTTTTGCCAGAACTGTATTATTCTTCATCTTCTGTGCAGAGAACAAACAGGCCTTCTAATTCCTACTTAGGCACTAGGTGATGTGCTGCTGGGAATAGATAATACCTTGCTGAAGTTCAGCCCTTGCCCCAAACCACATTATTGCTGGTTTGTACATCCTGTACATAGGAGAAGGGACACACATTGATTTACTGAAGTTCTTTATTATCTTGACGTTTGGCTGAAGTAATCATATCTCAGAACTTGTCACTATGGGCACTAAGTGAATGTTTCCTAGATGACAAAGGCAGGTTTAGCTATGATGTTTAATGAGTTTCAGTTAAGCTCGGGACTTTCTGGGGAAATGGGCAGTGTTGGGGATGGGGGGGGGGGAGTTTTCTCCCCACAGTGTGGATCTAACAGTTTGGTGCTCAGACTTGGTAACAGTGATTAGGGCTGCCAGGGATATACCCTTGTAGCTCTGGGACTTGAACTCTGGGCCTTGGGCAGGCATGGCCTGTACTCCAGCCTTTTGAGCTCTCTTCTTGACTTAATTACTAAAAGTCCCTTGTGAGAATTGGCAGATTAAAATGAACTGTATTCTTAGTTTGTATTAAGACAAACTTGACATCCAAATCAGAAATCACTATTCATGTGTTCTGAACAACCGACTGTTAGATCAAGTATTTAATGCCTCATTTTAAGATAGGACTTTCAATAAAATATCTGTTCAGAGAGAATGATGAGAGGAGGAATGGAAACATCTATTTGTAAAATAGTTGGCAAGATGTAGAACACTTTCCTGAAGTTTGTGTCACTTGGGGGATGTAATTGTCTCCGGTACAGTTGTAGGGTGTCAGATATTTAAGGGATTGTTGTATTAATGAAATGAAATAATTTAGAACTTTGAGGGATTGATGGAGCAGGAACACACAGACAGTAATTGCGGACACAACACACACACATACACATGTGCGCGTGCCTGCAGGAACACTTTCATGTGCAGTAATTGTAGAACTGAATCTGGCTCAGTAGTAGAGCTTTACATGTGGGAGTTCCTTGGCTCCTGGATTCTATTCCTGTTACTACTGAAAAGATTAAGTAATTGTAGCAAAGTATGAACACCAAATGTGATGTTAATGCTCCTTTTAAGAAGAGAAAACAAAAAATTGCTGGTAATATACAGGACAAGATGGAAAGCAGGATGTGAGCAGTAGGAGATCATAGTGCATTTAAACAGTCCGAGAGGTCATTCACTTGGGGTGGAGGAGCAAGCAGTTGATAGTAAAGGATACTCAGTGGTTATAGATAATGTATTCAAGAACATCTTGGTTTTGAAGAGATAGGCCATGAGAAGAAAGAACCCAGTGTATTCCTATTTTTTTAAAACAATATTTAAATTAATAAGGACCTCAGACATTATTTTGAATTTTGTATGAAATTTATAAAGGGATAATCATACTGAATATCCTGAAGTAAGATTAAAACCTTGAAGGGAAAATTCTAAAAATTAGTATTTATTATCTCCTGACCACCATTTTAAAGTATTCAGTAAAATTGAAAAATAACCCATTTAGGACTGGAAAGGGCTGTTTCATGAAATATGTAGGAATAATATGGCAGTGTTAGAAAGCTCAGGAGGATACACTCATTTATCCTTTGTCCTTAAGTTGCCCAAATAGGAAAACTAGAGAAAATACTCATAAGGCCTTATTTTAGAGATAAAATTTTAAGACTTTAGTGTAGTGTTCCCATATACTTTAAGGTTCACTAACATTTAGACTTAAAAGTTAATGGAATTAGAGGTTAATATAGTTTTCAGTAAAAGGGCTGGAGCGATAGCACAGTGGTAGGGCGTTTGCCTTGTGTGCAGTCAGCCTGGCTGACCTGGGTTTGATTCCTCCGCCTCTCTCGGAGAGCCCAGCAAGCTGCCAAGAGTATCTCCCCTGCACGGCAAAGCTTCGCAAGCTCCCCGTGATGTATTCAATATGCCAAACACAGTAACAACAAGTCTCAAAATGGAGACGTTACTGGGCCCACTTGAGCAAATTGATGAACAACGGGAGGACAGTGACAGTGATAGGTTTCAGACTAACATCTATTTTTCCTTTTCATTTACCAAATATTGAATGATTACGCCTCATTAGCACCTTAGGGCTCTGTTTAACTTTCCTGTCTTCTTGTGGAAAGAACAATAAAAAAGAAAAATTTAAAGTCTGTTAGTGATAAATGTTTTGATGAAAAATGAAGTTGGATAAAGAAAGTTGACTGATGAGTCATATTAGTCAGGGAGAAACTCTGAGAGAGCAATTAGTATTTGATCAGGGATCTGAACCTTTTGAGAAGAGGTCTAGGACAGAGCAGCAAGTGCAAAGCCTTGAGTTGAGATAGAGAATGTAAAGTATGGGTGTGATAGGTTAGCCAGGAGGGAGCTAGGTAAGTAATGAGGTTCAGTATTTGGCCTGGGCCAGAGACCAGCTGATGACTTTATAGTTCTTACATTTACTAAGAGGGAGATAGGAATCCTTTGGAAATTTTCAGGCAGAGAAACATTGGATTTATGTAACTCAATTACTCTGATGTTTAGAGACTAGATTGAAAGTTGAGCAAAACTTAAGAGCAGGATGACAATTTAGGAGTCCTTTTCAGTAATCCAGGCTTGGATTATGATGCGATTTAAATCATGTTGATAGAGACAGAGGTGCTGAAATAATTTAATTCTCGAGATACTTTAAAGGTAATGATTTTAAATTAATTAGCAATGGTAGGTGCAAGGTGTGAGGAAAAGAGAAAAACCAAGGTTTATTATTTTTAATATTTTAATTTTAATTTTTGGCTGTGCTCTTTGAGTGTGCAGCTTCAAGAGGGGTTGCATATAGAGTGGTGAGGAAGAAGGGGAGATCACCTTGCCAGCCAGATCAGCTGAGTCAACCTTTGTCATCTGTGGGGTGACAGATGTTGCAGCCAGATGGCCCTCAGATTTCTAAGATTTTTTTAAATCTTAACTAGAAGGAAGAAATTGTCACAACTGAAATGAAGACAGATTTAGAGAATCAGATTTGTCTGAAGGGAGATAGGAGTTTGCCTTTAGACATGTTAAGTTAGAAATCTAAGTGATGGCAGATAAGTAATTTAGTATGTGGATGAGATAGAACTAGCTGTAAAATAATGAGACTGATTTTCTTATGAACATATGAAATTGCCTCTGTGAGAAGGAGAGATGGGGCAGGATGCCTGCCATCAGGGAAGATTGTGGGCAAGTTGCAGGCGTGAAACTGGGGGCATTGGTGTTGGGAAATGTACATTGGTGAAGGGATGGTTGTTGGAACATTGTATGACTGAAATCCACTCATGAACAACTTTGTAACTGTGGATCTCATGGTGATTCAATAAAAAAGCGGATGAAAACCCAAACAAACAAAAAGGAATCACCACTTTGAAGTAGTCAATCTTGTTTGTTTGGGGGTCACACATGGCTCTGTGCTCAGGGATGACACCTTTTGACTCAGGGGATCATAAGAAGTGTTGGGGACTGAACCAGGGTCAATTTACATGCAGAGCAAGCACTCTACCCACCCTGTCTCTCTGGCCCCAGAAATAGTTAATCTTTTATGAGGTCTAAAGCTTTTGATTTCAACTTTTTGTTGTTTGTTTTTTGTCTGGAAAGTAGAAAAGTTTATTGGAAAGTAGAGGAGAAAGTAAACGGAATGTGGGGAGGCTCTTAGTATAGGACTAAATTCTTCATTACAACTTTTAAAGAAGATGGTTTTGTAATTTTACTGCAATTTAATCATCAAAGCCATTTTGTCAGTCTTTTCTAGAGTTGTGTATATAAACCATCCTGGAGTCCACCATGAATGGACAGTTGGATCTAAGTGGGAAACTAATCATTAAAGCTCAACTTGGAGAGGATATTCGACGAATTCCCATTCACAATGAAGATATTACTTATGATGAATTAGTGCTAATGATGCAACGAGTATTCAGGGGCAAACTTCTGAGTAATGATGAAGTCACAATAAAGTATAAGGATGAAGGTAAGAGTGTTTCTGAAGATGGTCTTTTTTTGTATGTGGGAGATGGGCCACACCTGACAGTGCTCAGGGCTTACTTTTTGCTCTGTGCTCAGGGTTTACTGCTGGGAGTGCTTGGCAAATCATATCTGGTGCTGGGGAGCACTATCTCTACAGCACTGATGATAGTTTTTAAATCTGATTATATATTTTCTTGCCCAGTTTTCATTGAGTTATCTCCGAATAAAAATGTGTTTTTCTTCCAAAACGGTAATTGATTGCCCGCTTTCATTTGTGGGATTTTCATGTAGTTTCAATTTCTTATTTTTTTAAAATTTTATATTTTATTTTTATAAGGTTGTTTACAATATTTGATTACATTTAATATTCACGCACCACCACCATTACACCTTCCCACTACCATATTTCCATCCCGAACCCAAAACCCTGCCCCCAAAGTGGAACCAAAATAATTTATTTTGTATTGCTTATTATGATAATCCACTAAAAATGAGACAAAAAAGGTTTCTTAGAGGAAAGTGTGTGAAGATTGTTGTATTTCATCCAGGAGTCATTACACCCTTCTGTGAGATTAGTAACACGTTGTTAAAGGTTGAGCCTTATGTACGTATAACTGTATCTGTATAAATACATTTCCCTCTAAGATTGGTTGCCTTCTACTTTAAACCCCATCAAATTGTAGTGTATTGGTTGAGATGTTCAGGAATAGATTCACTCAATGGTGAGGTTCATCCTAGCGTGTGGAGGTGGTTGAGTTCTGGAGGGTTTCAGCTGCTGGGGCTGCCTACTTTGGGGCAGGGAGGGGAACTCACTGCCCTGCTGTGGGTTGCCCTGAATGAAAGAGCGGCGTGGTGCCTGCCGCGTGGCTGTGGTCTGTCATTTCATTTAGTTATAATTTCTTTTTGGTTCACACCCAGCATTGCACAGGGGTTGCTCCTGACTCATGCACTCGGGAATTATTTCAGCTCCATATTTTAGCTTTTTTTGGGTCACACCTGGCGATGCTCAGGGGTTACTCCTGGCTCAGTTCTCAGGAATCACACCTGGCAATGCTGAAGGGATCATATGGGATGCCAAATTACTGAAAGGAAATTTTTAAATGAGAGGACACTTCTGCAGATTTTTTGGTACAAACTTTATTCTTTGTCCATGCTTCCTTTTCTGCTTAAAACCTGTATGCACTTTTTTACCTGTGTGAAAAAAGAATTTTATGTTTAAGTATGGAAAAGATGGTTTAAAACAAAAACAAGTGGTTCTTTATTGCTATTATTTCAGAGTATGCAACAGTGGTCTGGAATTTTATAGCACACAGTGTCCCATAGAACACCATGCTATAAAATTATATTTAATTTATATTGAAGTTATATTGAGATAATACTATAATTTGTATATAAATTGACCACAGAACAATTTTATGGAGATGGATTTTGCATGACAACATTTTTGTTATACAACCAGTGAAATCATAGTAGTCGGTTATTTTTACTTCTCTTTAAACTTGTTTCCTTTGATGCAAACCTGTTTTCTTTGATAGCATATTTACTGAAATTGTGCATTATGTGGTTGCCACTACAATTCTTTAGCATTTTTTTTTTTGTCTTCAATCTTATTCCCATCCTCAAAAGCTTCAAAACTTGTTTGTATTTGGACTAGGAATGCGGACAAATAAAACGGGGATTTCTTTTTTTTTTTTTTTTAATTGAATCACTGTGGGCTGGAGCAATAGCACAGCGGTAGGGCGTTTGCCTTGCACGCAGCCAACATGGCCGACCCGAGTTCGATTCCTCCGCCCCTCTGGGAAAGCCCGGCAAGCTACCGAGAGTATCTCGCCCGCACAGCAGAGCCTGGCAAGCTCCCCGTGATGTATTTGATATGCCAAACACAGTAACAACAAGTCTCACGATGGTGACGTTACTGGGCTCGCTCGAACAAATCGATGAACAGCGGGAGGACTGTGAATCACTGTGAAATATACCTTTGCAAAGCTGTTCATGATTGGATTTCAGTCATACAGTATTCCAACACTAATCCTTCCTCCCTCCACTAGTGTACATTTTCCAGCACCAGTGCTCCCAAGTTCCCTCCCATCACCCTCCACCCTCTTACCCTCTGCCTTCCTCTATGGCAGGGGCTTTCTCGCTTTTTTCTCTCTGTCTCTGTCTCAGTCTCTGTCTCTCTCTCTCCTGCCTCCCCCACATTTTTGGGCATCACTTTACCATTGTTTTTAGATTCTTATTCCTTATCATTGATGACACTGTGCTATCTCAGTTTTCTTATCTATAGTAGCATCTTTTTTGTCTTTGTGTATTGATTTAAAATAATGCCAACTGTTTCAATATAACACTTTTAACATTTCAGTTGTTTTAACACTCACAAAATCATTCATGGACCCAGGCAGATGGAAGCTCTGGTATCTTCAGAATGTCTTAGAAGCTCACTTTGACATCGGGGCAGGTGCATAAAGATAGTAGAGGAACACTTGGGAGATTATATTCTTTTGACTTGGAAGTTAGTATATCACTTTTGCTCACATTAATAGCCTAGTCACATGACCCTGCTGATTGCAAGTGGGCTCGGAAATGTAGTCCCTGGTTGAGCATTCACTTTCCAACCAAGCTGACTTAATTTTTTTTTTTTTTGACTTTTAATCTTATGGGTGTAACTCCCCTTTCTCTTCTTTTTTTTTTTTTTTATAATTTATTTATTTATTGAATCACTGTGGGAAAAGTTACAGAGCTTTCGGGTTTAGGTCTCAGTCATGTAAATATCAAACACATTTCCCTTTACCAATACTTATTTTTAACCCCGAACCCCAATAGACCCCCACCTCCCCCCACCCTCCCAATTCTTGTGAGGCAGATGAGTTCTAGTTAATACTCTATCTACTTTGACTAGATAGATTGTTTCGATAGAAGATGCACAATTATTGTTTAGAGTTTACGACCCACCCCCCCACAATCAGATATGCTGAAACAGCGTTGCGAAATGATTTGCTTTCTACAACTTGGTTTAAGAATAAAATGATGTTGCGCGGCTGCAAGAGCGGCCGCGCGGTTTTGAATTTCTGCTATTTTACTTATTGACCCTGGAAGAATTTCTATTAAAAGTTAGTTAAGAGATTGGTTTCTGTGCCCTGGAGTCGTGGCCGTGCCGGAGAGCCGCTCGTGGGGGGCAGCTGGCGACCTCGGTGGGGCGTGGGGGACGGCCCACAAAGCCCCCCTTCCCATGAGGTCCCCGCCGCTCCCGCCGAGCCCGGCTCAAACCTGCTGTCCACAAGGCTCCCGTGCGGCCGCCATCTTTCCCCTTTCTCTTCTTTAATGCATTTTCTCATAGCACAGAAAATCAAATTTTGCCAATTACCCATATTTAGGAACATAAAGACATTCTTTTCTTCTCTAGTAAATTTATTTCCATAGTCTCTACTGTCTGTGTGACTTCCGTAAGTGTGTTGATTTGATCAGTTTGTTTCCTTTCTGTATTTCATCACTCATATTTTCAACATCTTTATTTTCCTGATACGCTTTGAGCTTACTACTGATTTGGCAGGTCTTAAACTGAACTTGTTAAATTGATTTTCTCTTAATTTCCGTATTTTAATTTTTTTTTTTTTAAAGGACAAGGGCCACCAAACTTTCAAGGTCTGCTAACGGGAAACATAAGACTCTTATCTTTTAAAAAATCTTCTAAATTTCTCAAATCATTCTTAGTTTTCAGTCCGTTGAGGACCCTTCACTAAGGTATCCAATTGTTGCAGCTTTGTCTCCCACATCTAGTTACCACATTTAATTTTTTTAATGGTATTATTAAATGTGGTATTTGAACAGATTCTTCTACTCTTGTCTAAAGGGAAGGGCTAGTTTAGGTGAAGTTCTTGCCATTGGAGATACTCTATATTGTTGAAATCAGAAAAGGCATACTTGATAGAATTTTTTCTTTTTTAAAAGCATATATTTGTAATTTGTTAAAAATGTGTTTATGGGGCTGGAAATATGACTCAGTGGTAATATGCCTTATACATACAAGATGTGGGGTTTAATCCCTGGTATTGCCAATGTTAAAATGTACTTATCAACTGAATCCTTGAAGTTGTACATTAGGCATGTTTATTATGAGAGATGGACTTGGTTTTAATGAGGGAAAACAATGATCAAATGCTCAATTATGACTTAGATTGCCATCCTAGTCCAAAATGAATCTGCCTGATCAGTGTAGTAAAACAGGTTGGCACAAGTTCTCAGTCTTTTTAGGACAAAACTTCCCTACCCCTCCCGGTGTGTTTCAGAAGACAGACCATTTACCCCAATCATCTACTTGCCTATGACTACTGTTCTGTTTATTCTTGTTTTCCAAAGGACTTTTTCTCCCGCCTACTTCTTTGAAAGCTTTATGAAGTTTCAGAATTGATATGCAGATTATAATGGGTTTCGTCCTTGGGATCGAAGGATAAACTGAATAATTTTTCTGGACAGAGTTGATAGTTTTCATCTTTGCATTAGAAGTGGACAGTGGGTTGAAAAACTACTCTGCCAATTTGTTCTGCAATTCCAAAAAACTTTTTTTTAAATCCTTTTAGTTACTCTTACATGTATTATTTTTTGTTTCAGTGGTTTACTTTGTTTAGAATTACAATGAAAACTTAAGAGAATCTCTTTTTTGATAAGTATTTTTACATGTTGGAGAATGAAAATGATTTTAAAATAATTTATGATAGTGCTGCCATAGACCTCTTCCTGATAACTAGTAAAGGACTTTTATTTTTTATATTTTAATTTTTTGCTTTTTGGGTCACACCCGGCGATGCACAGGGGTTTCTCCTGGCTCGTGCACTCAGGAATTACTCCTGGCAGTGCTCAGGGGACCATATGGGATGCTGGGAATCGAACCCGGGTTCACCGCGTGCAAGGCAAATGCCCTATCCACTGTGCTATTGCTTCAGCCCCAGTAAAAGACATTTAAATAGATTATGTTTTGGAATCTTCTTTTAAGAACATGATGATTTGTCATAAAAGTAATAAAATTAATTTAGCATGTGTTTGCACAGATGTTTTTCTAGACCTTTAGTTCTTGTTCAGGTTTTTTTTTTTTTGAAATTCTAGTGATGTTCTGTGATCTACGTTTTTTAATTTAATGTATATCCTAGTTTGCTTTTTTATTAGGGTACTGATGGTTTGATCACATCCTTTAGTGATCAGGGACTATTTCTGATTTTTGTGCTCAGGAGTGACACCTGGTGGTGCTTGGGGGACCATATGTGTTGCTAATGATTTAAACTAGGTGGATTGATAGGAGGCAAGTGTCCTAACCCCAGTGCTGTCTCTCAGGTTTTCTGGTTTACTCTAAATACAAATCTGAGACTTATTTTTCTTTTTATTTCGAATTTCAGATGGAGATCTCATAACAATTTTTGATAGTTCTGACCTTTCCTTTGCAATTCAGTGTAGTAGGATACTGAAACTAACACTATTTGGTAAGTAGTAAACTTTCTTCTAATTTGCTGTTGTATTTATATTTTTAATTGAAGACATTTTGGCTCTTTGCTTTTAAATACTCAACCAATAACTTTTTTAAGAAAATGCTGAGGTCCAAGAGGTAGTTTTAAATTACTTAAAGCTTTATGACTATGTGTATTTCAAGAAAATAATCAAAGTTTAAGAATAGCATTTGTACTAATTTTAACTAGTTAACTTTTTGTTAAAAAAATGAAAAGTCTTTTTAGCTCAACTATAACATACATCTTTAATGGAACTTTATTGCTTTAATTTAGCCATATCAGGATTATTGAATTATTAAGATTTTACTATAATGACTTCTATTTTTCTTTCAGGTTAATACAAATGGACATGTTTCAAATTTTCTACTTCTTTATTTGTATTTCCTAAATAATACTATAAATATTTTAATAATGGAAAATGTTGGTTTTCAATTTGGGGAGAAGGTAGGGGATAGGGGGAGAACATCCTAAGTGGTGCCCGGGAGGTACATGAGCCATTCCCAGAAAAACAGTGATTCTTGGACAGCTAAGCTAAATGGACCATTGAATACCTGGGGTCTGGTTCTGGGGACCACAAGGGGCTAATTTGTCAGTGCTTAAGGACCACCAGAGCTGCACCTGTTGGTCCTTGGAAATTTCAGAGCTATGACCATTAATGCTTGGGGGTGCATATGATGCTGGAGATTGAACTGAGAGCACATATGTGCAAAGCATGAGTTCTTTCCCCTGTACTGTCTCTCTGGCCCAGGAGTTAATATAGTCAATATAGATACCAGCTAAGGGAAATGCAAACTGCTTTTCACTTATAACAGATTACAAATTGCTAAATAGTATTAACATATCAAATTCAATGAATATTTAAATACATTTATAAAGATAGTTTACCCCAAGAGTTTGATTGGCTTAAATGGGAGAAATCTAGTCACATCCTTATTTCCAGTAAGGTTAAAGGAGACAAACCAAGTAATTTTCTCTGTAAAGAAAAAACACCCATATCTTAATTAGGTGTGAAAAAGCAATAAACTGGGACTCAAAAGGATATTTTTTAAATGTTTATTTATTTATTGGCTTTTTGAGTCACACCTGGCGATGCACAGGGGTTACTCCTGGCTCCGCACTCAGGAATTACCCCTGGTGGTGCTCAGGGGACCATATGGGATACCATATGGGATGCTGAGAATCGAACCCGGGTCGGCCGCGTGAAAGGCAAATGCCCTACCTGCTGTGCTATTGCTCCAGCCCCAGGATTTTTTTTTTTTAAAAATCTTTATATTGGGTGTCTATCACATAGAATAATTGATATATGTCTTAATATAAGAATTATAAGATACAGCTAGAATACTAGTTTTAATAATAACAGAAACATAGCTTGTAGCCTTCAAGCAGTGCTGGGATGGTACTAGCAGTATCACATTCTTTTTTTTTTTTTTTGCTCTTTGGGTCACACTGGCGATGTACAGGGGTTACTCCTGGCTCTGCACTCAGGAATCACCCCTGGCAGTGCTCAGGGGACCACCATATGGGATGCTGGGAATTGAACCTGGGTTGTCCGCGTGCAAGGCAAACGCCCTACCCGCTGTGCTATTGCTCCAGCTCCCAGTATCACATTCTTGAGGCCTAACTTGACCCTTCTGTCTGGTTGGCTGAATATCTCTGGGAATGACACCTGGGTTTCCTAGACCTCTTGGCCACCTCTTTGGCAGCCCCTCCCTCCCAAGAAAGGTAATGGAATAAACCTAATTAGGCAAGATTTTTTTAAGGAAAAAGTCCAATACTTTTAATTTTATTTATTTATTTATTTATTTATTTTTGCGTCACACCCAGCAATGCTCAGGGGTTACTCCTGGCTTTGCACTCAGGAATTACTCCTGGAAGTGCTCAGAGGATCACACAGGATGCCAGGGATTGAACCCAGGTCGGCCGCGTGCAAGGCAAACACCCTGTTCACAGTGCTATTGCTCCGGCCCCAAAAGTCTTAATAGTTTTTAAAGGCATGACATTGGCAAATGGGTTTTGAGAGAAATGACCGAACATTCAGTTATGTCTGTATTAATGATCAGAGGAGCAAAGGTGAAAGAAAAATGTTTAGAGATAGTTAATGTGTTTATAAACTTTTTTGAATCCCTGAAATTTTTATTAAAGTCATAAAGTTAAAGTCATACTAGTAAAAATATTTAATTGTGTTATAGTGAACTTAAACTTTTCATTGACTAGAGCATGACTGCTCAAAAGCCACTAAATAGATGACAGCACATATTTGGAATATAAATAAAGGGTTCTTTAAAAGTTCTGTTACGACAGAATAATGTGATCATCAGAACCATATATTTGAACATACTAGCTCATTGCAGTGAGGGAGAATGAACATCAATAGAGATCAGAGGAATGTCAGAGTCAAAGTGTAATTTTTATTTTTATTTGAAGTGTGTTAGGAAGATGTTTTCATAGGTCTTTGTCTTTTTTTAAAAAATTATTATTATGTTTTTGCTTATTGGGTCACACCTGGTGATGCACAGGGGTTACTCCTGGCTCTGCACTCAGGAATTATCCTTGGCAGTGCTCAGGGGACCATTTGGGATGCTGGGAATCGAACCCGGGTCGGCCGTGTGCAAGGGAAATGCCCTACCCGCTGTGCTATTGCTCCAGCCCCTTTAGGTCTTGGTCTTCTGTTAAGTGATGATATGCTTGAACAAAGTGGGGCTTTGCTTTAGATTGGATGCTGTCAGGGGTGTGTGTGTGTGTGTGGGGGGGGTGGTCCCATTGTTGGGTGTTATTTAATCTTTTCAGATTGGGAGGACTGAATTGGAGCTAACGCTGCACTTGGCAGAGCAGTAGTAGTCATTTCATATTAGCCAGAAATGGGGCTAGGCAGAGGGGTGTTTGAGTATTTTATAGTTTGGTTGTGTTTTTTGATTTTTTTTTTTTTAAATCTAAGTTCTCAAATGGAGTGGCTCAGTTTTTTGCCTTGGTTTATCACGGACAGATCTTTTCTGATGTTGGTTGTTTCAGTAAGAGATGAGAATACTAAAGCCTGAGTTCTAGTTTCTGGCTCTCAGGGGCTCCTTTTTCAAATATTAGGGAAAATTATTAATACCCAGTAGAAGTCAATAATGATTTAATACTGGTAGGGTTTACTTTACCTCAGAAGTATACAGGGAGTACTGGTGGATTCTTTTAAAAGCAGCATTGTTTGATGGTTGGAACTATTTGACAAATACTCTCCCAAACTTCCTTTCGATAGATTTTCTTGGCACTCTTGAAATTTGCCTGTGTGTGTACTGGTAATGGTAAATCATTTTAATTTAATTTTTGAAGTCCTTGTTTTGAATTTTGCATTCATAAACTTGTGCTTATGTGACTTAAAATTTAAAAATTTACTGTTGTCTTTGTTACTTGATGGATTTTATATTTATGCAGAGGGTAAGGGAGTTCTAAAGCAATGCTTAGGAAGCCTCCAGATCCTCCCTGGTGATTCTCAGCCATTTAGCTGTTCAGTGGAAAAGTGAGCAGGATGCAGTGCTATTTTTGCCCTGTCGGGTTGGTATTACCTGTGCCATCCACAGTACCCAGGGAAGGGCCGCAGGGATACATGATCCAACTATGCTGGAGGGAACATGTGGTGCTGGGGATCCAGTTAGTGTCAGTTGCATGCAAGGCATGTACCTTAACTCTATACTATCTCTTCCTACCACAGGATTTCCTTTTTTTTAGAAAACAAAGTCATTTGGACTAAAAATTGTTGAATAACTTGTGGCTTATGCACTGCTTTGGGAAGTAATTGAAGGATGATGGTAATTTGGATTCTTATGTTATGCTTTTAAAAAATAGATTGCATCTTTCTTGGCCAGTAATTTTATTTATTTGAATTTTGAGCTATACCTAGTGATGTTTAGGTTCTGTTCCTAGCCCTATGTTTGGAGATTGCTCCCCTGTTGGTGCCATGTAATACCTGGCGTCAAACTTGGCTTCTCGCATGCTTTGTGAATGCTCAGATCATTAGGCTCTTTCTGACCTTGGCTGTAGAATAACATTGGTCTGTCCTTTCTGCCTTGCCACAGGGAGCTTAGGTTTATTGGGTTACTCCCATTACAGTGCTCCCATCCCTCTGTTTATTTGTAACCTCTTTCTTTGTGCTCTGTTAGCTTGTAAATATTGCTTTTCTCTTCTCCTTAAGTCCTTTGCATAGTTTTTCTTGTATAGACACAGGAAGACAGTTAATGCTGTGCTTTAGTATTTTGGAAGTTAATTGACTCTGGGCTGGAGCGATAGCACAGCGGTAGGGCATTTGCCTTGCACGCAGCCAACATGGCCGACCCGAGTTCGATTCCTCCACTCCTCTCGGAGAGCCCGGCAAGCTACCGAGAGTATCTCGCCCGCACGGCAGAGCCTGGCAAGCTCCCCATGATGTATTCGATATGCCAAACACAGTAACAACAAAGTCTCCAATGGAGATGTTACTGGGCCCGCTCGAGCAAATCGAGCAATTGACTCTGAATGATATTCACTCCTGGGCATCTGTTCTCTCAACTTAAGCCTCAGTTGCCCTCACTTCCTACCACCCCAAAAGCAGGGTCCTGACAAGGGACTGGCTGGACCCAGGGCAAGCTGTGAACTACTCTGGCATCAAAATGGGCCAGGCCGAAGTGCCCTAATATTTAACTATAAGTTAAGAGCGTGGCCATGGACAAATTCTGTCATGATTCAAAAAATAACAGCTGGATTAGGACCTCCTAGGGTTAGGAAAGATTAATCTGGCCTGAGCACTGTAGTCTGAGATCTATAGTGAGATGTCCCCAGAAGAGCCACCCTACAAGCTTAATGTATCTCTTACTATGTCCATACAAAATAACTAATACGAAAAAGTAGAATTAAGGTGTTAATTAAGTTATTGAACTAAGGAGAGGAGAAACACTCTTTGGTAGTATTTCTGCCCTTGAGCCTGATGGGCGATCAGGAAGGGCTTTTGATATGTTCATTGTGATAGCCCCAATGTGGGGGAGTTGGAGAGAGACTAGAGAGAGACCAAGCTGAGAGAGGGAGTGTGGAGAGATGAGTGGGAGAGACAGAAGGAGACGGGAATGACGGGGAGTATGAGATTAGAATGAGGGGCTCAGTGAAACTGGAACATGTGCGTTGGGAAAATGGAATAAACGGCAACTGATCACCAACCAGCCTGGCCCTTGTTTCCTCCTTCATACACCCATGACATTGGCTCTTCTGGGTGGAGAAGTGGTTCAAGTCCACCGAATGCAGGTGGCAAGAGAGAGCCACAGGGCTCCCTAGCCGCTTGGAGATTACATGCATGTCCAGTTATTTTATGGCTACTTTTATGTCAAAGGCACGAGGAATAACAGATCTCTTTAGTCAGGCACTATTTATTGTTTTTGTACAGAATAAGGTGTTAATTAAATATTACAGGACTGTAGCACTGTCCTCCTGTTCATCGATTTGCTTGAGCGGGCCCAGTAACGTCTTCATTGTGAGACTTGTTGTTTCTGTGTTTGGCATATCAAATATATCATGGATAGCTTGCTAGACTTTGCCGTGTGGGTGAGATACTCTCGGTAGCTTGCCAGGCTCTCCAAGAGGGGCTGAGAAATCTCAGGTCAGCCAAGTTGGCCGGGTGCAAGGCAAACGCCCTAAGTGTTGTGCTATCGCTCCAGCCCTAGGGAGCTATGTAAGACTATGTAAGAACTATATAAGAATAATGTGAAACAAAGTGACTTCTTTTGGAGGTAGAGTGGCAGTAGGCCACACCCAGTTGTGCCTAGGACTTAACTTCTGGCTGGTTTGGGGGGCCATATGGGTTGCTGGGGATCGAATCCAGGTCTGCAGCTTGTAAGGCAAGTGAACTACCCACTGCAGCCCCCATATTATCCTTTGGAGGTATATAATTTCTGAAATTTTGGAAGTGTCTCCCCAGTGGTACCGGGGTCACCAGAGCTTCATCTGTTGTGCTCCAGAGACCATGAAGTGCTGGGGGTCAGAGCCAGAGCCTGTGCATGCAAGGCATGCAATCTAGCCATCTGAACTCTCTGGCCCAGGAGATAGGCACTTTCTATTAAAAGCACATTAAAACATCCTGTAGGTTTTAGTATGATTTATTACAGTTGAATTCTTGTGAACATTTTATTTTTAATACTAATATGATCATAGCATATAGATCTAATTTTTTAAAAGTAAAAATAAAGAATATCAAATGAATTTTTCAGGTAACAGCAATAGGTATTGCATTTGATTTGGTTTCACTTTTTAAAGAAATAATTTATTTTTTTCTTTTTGGATATAATTTCATTGATACTGATGCAACAACATTTTCTAATTTGAAGTAATGAAAATTTTTATTTCAGTTAATGGCCAGCCAAGACCCCTTGAATCGAGTCAGGTGAAATATCTCCGCCGAGAACTGATAGAACTTCGAAATAAAGTGAATCGCCTATTGGATAGCTTGGAACCACCCGGAGAACCAGGACCTGCCACTAGTATTCCTGAGAATGGTAGCCTGTGTATCTTTTATTTTGATTTATTCTTTTTTAAGTATCTTAATCTTAAGTTTCTGGATTCTTTTTATTTTATGAGATAGCATACATAAATGCCGGTTTAGTACTTCTCCTTAGAAGTAAAAATGGTTTTAAATTTACCCTTATAATATTAACACTTTTATTTTTTAAATTTTAGTTTTTTTATTAAAAATTTTTTTTGTTGAATGACCATGAGATGTGGTTACAAAGTTTTAATGATTAAGTATTTAGTCATACAGTGATCGAAGATCCATCCTTTAACCAGTGTATATTTCCCATCACCAGTGTCTCCAGCACCCCTCTCGCCACCGCCCCACCCTCCCTTGCTCTATGGCAGGCATTTTCCTTCTTACTCTCTCTACTTTTGGACATTATGGTATGCAATACAGATACTGAGAGGCCATCATGTTTGATCCTTTGTCTACTTTCAGCACATATCTCTCATTGTGAGCAATCCCTCCAACCATCATTGACTTAGTGGTCCCTTTTCCATCCCAGCTGCCATTTTTATTTTTAAAGTACTTTATCATGGGAATGTATAAACATATATAATAGTGAACATACAATTAAAAGGACTCCTCTGAGCTAATTGGAATAGTTAACAATTATCTATCATCTGTACTTCCATGTTTCTACTGCTTCCATATTTTGAAGCGAGTCCCAGATATATCACTTCATCTTTAATGATTTCAATCAGTAATTTAATGTGTAATGAGTATAAACAATGACATAGCAAAAGAAAGGTATATTAATGTGCTGATTGAGATTTATATATAATAATAATTTAATGATTATTTAATGTGGCAATAGACAAGCAGATATAACTTTAGTTAAGCTTGTTGCCCTTTTCCAAAATAAAGTGTTAGTGCCCAATATTAGGTCAGCATAACTCTAAACAAATAGTAAATACAAAGTGTTTCTCTGCTAAAGAACTTTTCTCACTTCCTCGTTATAAAATTCTTAGGGTACAGGGTAAATAATGTCATAATTTTTAAAAGTTTATATTTATTTTTGACCTTTCTGATAAAAGGTATGTAGAAAAGAGTAAAATTATATTTCTGTAGTGAGAGATACATGCTCTTAATATTCCCACTGTGCACATATGTATTTCTTTCATTTTTATTTTTCAAGTTTTAATGAATATAGACGAAACAGAAAATAAATCTGTTTAATGCTTTCATAGATGCTGTGGATGGTAGGGAAGAAAAGCCTGCTGCTTCTGATTCTTCTGGAAAACAGTCTACTCAAGTTATGGCAGCAAGTATGTCAGCTTTTGATCCTTTAAAAAACCAAGATGAAATCAATAAAAATGTCATGTCAGCATTTGGCTTAACAGATGATCAGGTTTCAGGTAAGTTAGTTTCTCCCTTAAATTCTTTATTCCTTTTTTGAACTTCCCTCCTTTTCCTTCTTTAACTTGAATTTGGTGAAGTGCACAAATCATAAAGTTCAGTAAGTTTCTACATGTGTAGTATATGCTTGCATAAAACACCAGTTGAGTGATAGAGATTCAGATATTTCAGCACTTCAAAAAGTTTTCCCTTTTCCATGCTGTGGAACCCTCCCCTGATTCACCTGAACTTTACTGAAAGTAGAAACAGAAGTTTGTTATTTTGGAAAGGTCCATAAGGATCCATAAACTAGTTTAGATTCTTGACATTACCTAGATTCTCAGCTGACAGCTGCGCACTCAGTATTGAGTCCTGTGAAATATCAGCACAAAAACTAGGAGTTCACTCTCAGGAATTAAGTCTACTGTTTATAAAAAGTACTTATGTGGAATATGTAAGTGCTAATCACTTTTAGAGCACTTGATAAAGGCTCTTTTTTACTCCTAGTCCTTATAAGAGCAATATTTAATATTTTCTTTTTTATTTTTTTGTATAGATGAGGCAGCTGAGACACAAAAGGATGTCAGATGACATGCCCTGAGTTACACAGCTAATAAGGGACAGCATTAGGCAGTTTGGCACCTGAACTTGTGCTTTTGAAATATTCTTCTTCGCTCTCCAAACAAAAAGGAGTAAAATCTATAGTTGTCTTCAGCTATTTGTTTGCTTTTTGACAGCCAGAATTACAAAAGTTTAGCATATTTTCTTTATTAACTTCTTTGCTAATGATTTTGGAAGAATTTTAATGATTCCTCATGTAAAGGTATGAGACCCTGTGACACCAACAAAAAGAGAAAGGGGACTGCCGGGAAAGCTTCTAGTCTTAAGAGGGAGGTCGGACCTGTTTAGAGAGCAAAGAAGTTGATGAGAGCCATTTTAATAGTTATTCCATAGAAGTTCATAAGTGGAAAAAAAATACAGGTAAAGTTTACTAGAAATGGGTTATAACTGACTTTCAAAGAATACTATATTCAACTTTTGTAAATGGTAGACCTTCACATGTGGAAGGAATATTAATAAACGAAGGCAAAAAGTGCTATTTATATTGTAGGATTAGGTTTAGCTGAAGCAACACATGTGAAAAGAGGATTCGGAGAAGTAGCTGGATCCTGATTACTAAACCAGAATGCTGAACTTGATTAAGGGATAATAGAGACTCATGAGTGGATGAAATGATAATTTTGATTGATGCTTGCATAAGATGGAGAATATAGATACTGCAGAGATGGGTTTTTGTTTTTGCAAGGGGAGGTTAGGTCTCAAGAATACAGTATATTATCTGTATTTTTCAGGGGAAAGATTTCTGTTTCTATAATTTGATGCTTAAGAGATTGAAGCACAGGAGAAAATATATATAAAAGGCTTCATGTGTGGTTATGCTGATTCTGTAGTAGTTTTTATTTTCAAAACTGAACATAGAAGTTGCTTTAGCTGGGGACTGAACTGACTTTTCATGACTGCAGGGCCACCCAGTGCTCCTGCAGAAGACCGTTCAGGAACACCTGATAGCATTGCTTCCTCCTCGTCTGCAGCTCACCCACCTGGAATTCAGCCACAGCAGCAACCGTATACAGGAGTTCAGACACAAGCAGGTCAGAGTGAAGGTAAAATAGAGCTTTAAAGCACGTATGTGGAAAGGTACATGTGCAGAAATGTCTTGTTACAGCTGTGTTAGTAATAGTAAAACTTAAGATACACAACTATGTTATGGATATACTTATAATTTTTATTTTCTTGCAAATGGTGTATCTTGGAGTTAAAAACTATGTCAAGAATGCTTTTGATTATTAAAAAGGAAAAATAATACCCTTTTAAAAAAAGGTGTTTAAATGGATAAAAAATACAGTGTGAAAGATTAAAAGCATTCCTATCAGTCACTAGTCAATGGTGACCATGGGTAAGAGGTGATCCGCGGGTAAGAGGTAAGAGATGTTACTTTATTTCACATGAAGCTTAGGTGAAATTTCTGTTTTCCTTTTCTTATTGAACCTTTTTATTTTGTAATTCAAAAAAACTTTTAAAATGGAGGTAAAATAACAAATTCAGTTAAATTCGGTTTTGTGAATAACAATATTTTTGTGCTGTTGGCAGCATCTTTTGCAATAAAAAGTAATAGACTTTATTTCAATTTTTTAAAAAATAATTTCTGGTTTTGGGGTTGGACCTGATGATGATGCTTAGGGGACTACATGGTTCTGGAATCAAATCCAGGGCCCTCACCTGCAAAGCGTGAACTTCAGTCCTTTTCGCCATCTCCTTGGATCAAGCAATATATTTTATTTAAGCAGTGTGTTTTAATTAAAACTTACTGTAATCTGGGTAGTTAGAATAGTGTTACAGTTTATGGTATTGATGTACAAAATTATTACATCTCACCACCACCAAAGTGCCCATGACCCTTCCTACGTGATCTGGTCTGATCATCCCCTCCTCCCCTCCCCATACTATTTGGTAATTGGTTTTGGATTCCAGTGCCAAGGATTTGTCATTGTTCAGTACTGTTTTTTTTTTTCTCTTGTTTTCTCTCTGTATTCCACAGATCAGTGATATCATCCAGTATTTGTCCTCCCTCTGACTTATTTCGCTTAACATGATACACTCCAGTTCCATCTGCGTTGCACCGAACTGCATGATTTGAGCTTTTCTTATAGCTACATACAATAGTCCACAAGCAATGAATTTTTTAATCAGACTTTTCTTTTTTAAATGACGTGTCCTTGGATGAGCAGTTTAGTCTATGGACTTTGATATTTTCTCACTGTAAATTGTAATTTATATTTTAAAAATTTTATTGGAATAAACCAGTGGTTCCAAAACAATGTCTTTGGTCCTGAATAAAATATAACTTGAAAACGCAGTATTTAAAAGAGATAAAGGGGTCATTATTTATGATTGAAGGGGACTGCGGGGGACATACTCAAGACAGCAAGCAGTGAGGATCCAAATGCTATCACCTTTTGGTATCTATTACCTCAAAGATAACCTTAGAGCTGTTCAAAAATAAGGCTAGGTAGCTACAGGTTATCTAAGGTTCCTTCCAGATATTAAAATGTTTCTGTAAATTACTCATGCGTATTAGGGAAACATAGATGGCTAGAGATAGATGGGATATGAAAAAGTGCCCTTTATCACTTCCTGTCAGGAAAATGCAGCTCAAAACAACAGTGAAATATCTCACACCAGTGAGGTTGGCACACATCAAAAAGTGTAGATATAACTAGTGATGGCATGGATGTGAGGGAAAAGGAATCCTCATCTGCTGTTGGTAGAAATGTTTGACTCAGCCTCTGTGGAAAATAGTATGGAGATTTCTCAAAAAATTAAAAACTTTCCATATGACCAACAGTTTCACTTGTCATCTACCTCCCAAAAAACAGTTTCAAAGACATTTGCAATCCTTTGCTATTTGCAGCAGTATTCACAGTAGCCAAGATCTGGAAACTACCTGTGTGTAAAAGAACATTTGACTGGCTAAAGAAACTGTGATGTGTATACATAATGGAATCCTATAGCTTTAAGAAAAGATGAAATCATGCAATTTACTGCCTTGTTGATGGAACTAGAGGGTATCATGCTGAGTACTATCAGAGGGATATTGACACACAGAGAATGTTATCTCTTAAATGTGAAATATGTGTAAAGAAACAGTAATGGAAGAACAGTTGCATTCAGTTGTCTCAGACTCTGAGATATAGAACTGAATTGGCTCAGTTTGAGAAGGGGAGTGATTAGAGGGGAGACAGTGGTGGAATGATTTTCACAGAGTGTGGTGAGTGTGTTGCTAGACCATTGAATCCCTGAAAATGTTACTAACAGTATTGTATATAGCAGTATCTAAATAGAAATTGGAGAAGAAAAACACAAAACTTATATGTACCACTTTGAGCTAACACCAGGTGGTGCTGTGACCATTTGGTAAAAGTGGCCCAGTGATGGTATGAGGTATTTTCAGCAAAAGAAGCAATTATTCAGAACCAGAAGATGCAAGTGATTGAATGTATGGATCATATATAAGGTCCTTTGTTACTGGAAGACTGTATGTAATGGGGTAGTTGCTTAAAACATTAAAAACTGGAGATACTTGTCCAGTGTGATAATTTCTAGCTATTAATTGTCATACTGGTCAAGAACTGAATGTTACAAAGTAGATAAAGAGACATATACCGGATAACCTTTCAGTATCTGTATTACAAACCTCAGAGTGGGGGTGGGGGGGTGGGGGGTGGGGGGTGGGGGGAGGGGGGGAAAGGGGGGGGAGGGATGCCATAGAGGCAGGCTGGGTGGGGGTGTGATGGGAGGGAAACTGGGGATACTGGTGCTGGGAAATTACACTGGTGGAGGGATTGGTGTTGGAACACTGTATGACTGAAACCCAATCATGAACAGTTTTGTAAGTGTCCGTTTCACAGTGATTCAATTAAAAAAATGAAAAAAAAAAGCCTGGTGATACTATAGAGATCATTAAAAGTTGGCAGAGACCATTTTACCTTTTTAGACTACTAAAAAGATGAAAACGGGCAGGCAATAAAAATCTGTGAACTCATGGCTGGATAAACAGTGTAGTGGGTGAGCCAGCCTAGGTTCAATCCTCGGCATCCCTTATGACATCTCAAGTACCGCCAGGAGTAATTCCTGAGTGCAAAGCCAGGAGTAACCCCTGAGCATCTCTGGGTATGCCGCAGAACCAAAGAAACAATAAAATCTGTAAACTTAAAATATAATTTTCAAAAGCGATTGGAAAAATTCTATAAAATCATACACCAATATAGTGATTATCTGAGCCGACACTTAAATAAATTTCATTACATAAATTTTAAGATACAGAAAAGTAAAGGTGAAATGATCACATCTTTGTTGTCCATCATGGAGCTCTCACATTTATCAACAATCGGTTGATGAAGGGGTCAGCACTTAACTTTTTATACCTCTCTTCCTCCTTTTTCATTTGTTTTAAATATACAGAAGGTCTTTAAATAAAATACAACACATGCTATTTGACACTACTTTTGCAGTGTATATACCTAAATGATAAGTTTAATCTCCCTTTTTTATATATATAACCACTATGACATTCAAATAATGAAACAAAGATTTTTTTTACAACTGCCTTGTCACACTATATCCATTTAACAAAATATACATTTTCTACTTGATTATTTAATTCTTTTTCCAGTGGCTGTCATATAGATGTTGCTGTAGTTAAAGCTATGTAGTACCTATTGCTATGTAATAACTTATCACCAAACATAGATTCTTGAAAAGAGAATTTTACTTTCTGCAGTGCCAGAGTTCTGTTGTTATTTGATTACTAGAAATTACAACCTATAAGTTATATATATTTCTCCCTCGTAATTATATTTTTGTACAAAATTTGATCATTTCTATTCTATAATGAAGTATGAAATACAGTCCAGGATTAAGGTGAGACTAAATTTGGTTAACATCTGTACTACTTTCTGGGGTATCTCAGTGTTTTGTTTTTAAGAAAGTGTTTAAGAAACTTGTTAGTTTTTTTCCTATTTGGTGAAACAGTTAAATATTTCTGTCAAAAAAAAAAAGCAGTAACATAGCTGCTTGCTAAGGGAATAAGCCAGATAAATATAGTATATCTCATTTAGTGCTGAAGTACATCAATAGAATGGACTTTTGTCTTAACAGTCTGTGATTGTTAACTGCTTACTGTTGCACTACATAATGTGTAGGGTTTTTTTCCAGTGGCTATCTGTCAGTATTCTTTTGATTGACTAGCAGTAGGATTTGAACATTTTTCAAAGAATTAACCAATATGTATTCTTTTAAAGGTGCAGGTACTAGCTAGATACTAAGTGCAAGTTTTATTTCTTCTCTTGGGAGTAAACCTAGCTAACTTCACCATTAGAACAGCTATACAGTGGTGGAGATAATAAAAGTCATTATCCTTGTTTCGAAATCAGAGGCAATAATTGTATTGAAGGTTTCTTGATAGGAACTATGGACTGCTGACTCAAACATGTTTGTTTCCCACCTCCACAGACACATCCATACTGTTAAGCCGGTCTACCAATCTGTCATTCAGTAGTGCAGTACAGAACCATGTAGGCCTTGTCAGATTACACATGGTTGGTAGCTGGGATATTCTGATGATGGAAAAAGTAAACTTGTCAAATGCCTGTGGTATCTTTGAGATCTGGAATGAAAGTTGTTTGCTGTTACCGAAGTGTTTCATACAGTAATAAAGATTCAACCCTTTGGGTGACAAGTATAGTGTCTTGGGAAAGATTTAAGAACTTTAAAAGAAAAAAAAAACCCAAACAGAAATTGTTCCAAGCCCATTTTATTTATTTTTAAATTTGAGGCACCATGATTTACAACACTGTCAGTGGTTGGGTTTCATGTGTACAATGTTTCTAACATCACACCTTTGACCAGAGTATCAGCTTCCCTCCATCATTGTCTCGGTGTCCCTTCCACCCCTCAACTTTGGCATCCCTTCCCCCCATGGTAACTACAGATTTAAGAATTTTCAAGTAGTATTTATTTGACCCTTGTAACATCTTTTAAAAATACTCAGTTTTCTTGATTTTTTATTGAACATAATCTACCTGTTGAGCTATTTGTGTTTTTTTTTTTTTTTTTTTTTTTTTGTTCATTTGTTTTTTGGTATTTACAAAGAAACTACCAGTGCAATTTACTGGCCACTAATCACTAAAATGCGCTCACTTTCTTAAATTGGAACATGTGTTCTTTCGAGACGATTTAAAGGAGAATAGGTATGTTTTATATCTTGTTCCTCAGTGTGTTTATGTGTGGATAGGCTGAGAATGTAAAAGTGTCTTAACACTTTTTTTTCTCTGTGGAGTTAGACCTCCTTTATCCTCTCCATTTGTCTCTTTTAGGCCAGGTGTATCAGCAGTATCCACAGCAGGCTGGCTACAGTGCTCAGCAGCCGCAGGGACCGCCTCAGCCACAGCAGCAGTATGGTATCCAGTATTCAGGTGAGCAGCTACCAGAGAGGTTGGCTCATGGTTTCTGAGTTATTGGTGCCCTCATTAATCCCTACGTCATAATTCCTTAGTTGGCCATAGTAGGTATTAAGTATTTCTTGAGGAAATAGCATTTTTTTAAAAAAAATTACATAACTTATTATAAATTAGAGTTTCAGGATTTCCAGTGGGCAAATGAAACTTAAATCATAGTAGATAAAATTTTTAAAATATAAAGCTACCTGTTGATATGATCAAGTTACTCTTAGGTGACTCAGAACTGCAAAATATCCAAAATTCCCCTCCACTGAATATAACATTTAATCTCAGTTTATTCTTGTTACATGTAAAATACAAACTTTTCCTTTGTATTTTGAAAGATCATAAACATAAGAGCCATATCGAGCAACATAGGTTTGTAAATCTTCTGAAAGTGTATAGCATTTACCAAAAACTGTACATAAAGTAGAATTATGTGGGTATTTCAGGCAACTGAGAATTTAGGCATTTTTGCTTGGAGTGGTGTGCACACTCATCCATTGGTGTGGGGAGACCAGTGCTAGGAATTGAACCTCTCACATGAAATGTAAAACATGTATTATGAGCCCTTTGAGCTGCCCAGAGTTACATTATTTTAGTAGGCATTCTGTTTTTTTTAATCATTTTTCATTGAAGACTGTCCATAATTAAACTTATAAATAAAACGTTAAGCTACAGATTTAAGTACCAAAATTTCAACTCTAATTGAAAATAATATTTAAGTTTTGCCTGGATTCTATTTTATCAAGTTTTGTAACATCAACTAGAACAGGGTTTCCTAAATTTTCTCCACCCATGATCCTTTTGTGTCTAGGAAATTTTTATGTGACCCTGAATATATAGGTATGTAAAATAGGGATACAAACCACTTATCTATCATATGTTATAAATTTATTTCAAAAAAAATTTTGAAGGGTGTTTTTTTTTTTTTTGGTGTATCACTCACCCCTTCATATTTAATTACAGCCTACTTCACTATCTGGCTCTTTATAGAATCGATGTGTTAACCTCTAAACTAGGTCATATAAATCTTGTCTTAATTGGCATTTGACATACAATAGCAATTTTTAGAATGTCTGTGCTGTATATAGAGTGACTTCATCTGTAGCTACTGGTTTTTAATTACATAAAATAGAATTTAAACAAATCATGATATTAAGAGGAAGGTGGGTTTTTTAGATGTCAATAAATGAATAAAATTAGTATTACAAATTATGTAATTTGTAGGAAATGCTTGATACTAGATGGGCAAAAAAAATAAGCTGATCACCACCTAAATCAAAGGTTCTCAATTTTACTTGACCTACTGCACTCCCTCTTTCCTTTTGCAACATTATTTCAGTGGACCCCAAGTGTCAGTATCCCCATTTTAGGAAACACTGATCACCTCACTGTGTTCAGCAGAGCATTTTTCAGTCACACATATATCTGGTCCTTATTTCTAGAAATTTAACTTCAAGGGAACAGCAAAGTGGGGCTCAGGCTTTGAAGTTTTAAAAGCATTGTAGGACTGCATGTTTTTCTAAAATACAGCCAAGGTTGAACGAGGCAACTAAGGTTCTTGGTGTTTACATTTAAGGACTTAACTGTTAGTGACAAAGTTGACCAGAACCCTATGCTTGACTGTAGTTATAAACTTCCCTAGAGCATTCTCCAGGATAGAGCAGGTGCTGGTACACTTACGTGCCATGAAAGGCTAGAGTAAGTATTTTAATCTTTGTGGACCACATTACCTCTTGCCCTAAACTCTTTATTTATTAAAAAACGAGCAACAACACAGAAGTGTCATTTCCTGCAATTTATGATGTTCTTCACCAGTTACTTTGTTTTTCAAGAGAGGAAATGGTGATTGGAGGGAGGCCTTATGTATATAACAGAAGCATTGTCACATTATAATTAAAGATTAATAGGTTGCTAGTGAAGGGGCATCTTTAGGTAATATTCCCTCTCAAGAAATAATTAACAGTCTGGTTGCTTTTAGACTCAGTTGAAAGGTCAGGGAAGAAAAGGCAGATTATTTTTATTTTGATTTTGCTCCATTGGAAAATGAATAGATATTTTCAGTATAAAAGCCGAATTCTTCTATTGCTCCAAAATCTAACAGCCTATAATATATTTTGAAATATATAGAAGAAATTATGATATTCAAGATATATCATAAATTGACTTTAGCAGTTAGATCCTACCATAAGTAAAATGCATTGGGTATTTGACTTATTGGAAATTAAACTTACTCTTAATGGTTTTAGTCGGAGTCATGACTTGAAGTAACATTTAGTTCTTTTCAAATTATTCTATTTGTATTTCTGATCCTGTTTGTTTTTTTAACTTGAATTTGATTGGGAGGTATGAAAATAGTCAACTAAATACTCTGCCTGGAGACAGTAAGTGATGATGGTAGCAATGGACCATCTTTGACACATTGTTGGTTTGCCAGTTTCCCTCTGACCTTTTCCAGTTTTATTCATGGACTGTGTCAAAGAGATTTCTTACATGAGTAAATTTTGAACCCAGGTTCAAGGTGAGTTCAGAATATACCCAGATTCATTCAATCCTTTTTATTTTTAAATGCAGGGTTGTACATATTTTAATGATTTTCTTATGTATCTGGTATTTAATGCTGACAGGATTCCAGTCAATGGAGAGGTTTCATTGCAAGTAGCTGCAGGTGTGTTTCATGCTAGCAATAAAAGTTTTTAGTGAAGCAGAATTTTTTTTTTTTAAATTTACACCCTAGTAAATAATGTAGATGTTGATTTTATGGGGCAATATGGTATGCTTTTTCTTTTACGCTGTTACTGCTAAGTGAAAATCAAGTTGTAAAGGCAAAAACTGCAGATATCAAATCTAAAAGATAGATTTTAAGGCTTATAAAAATAATGTTCACTTTTGAATGACTTGGTTTTTATATCATAAATAAATCTTAAAGCTTCTCATCAGTAAGATGTATTTGTAGCACCACTGTTTCTTTAAAATAATTTCATCCTTATGTGTTCTTATTTGGTACTGTTATTAAATAGGCCTCTCCTTCAAAACCAGTCTAATGACTAGCATTAATTCTTGATTTATCATGAGTGTCATTTCTATGATAAGAATTGTTCTAGCGTTGAAATTTGCTCTCAGGATATAAAAGTTATCTCAATAATGCCTCTGATATAACTCGGTCTTGTAAATAATTAAGAGTTTGCTAGCTAAATGGGAAATAAATTTAAGTTTCTTACTATTGTTGGCTCATAACAGTAAGACTAATTCTTAGGAAAACTTAGCAAAAGAAAAATAAGATATACATGTTATGCATTTTGCTTTTGCAGCAGGCTATAATCAGCAAACTGGACCCCAACAACCTCAGCAGTTCCAGGGATATGGTCAGCAACCAACTTCTCAGGCACCGACTCCTGCCTTTTCGGGTCAGCCTCAACAACTGCCTGCTCAGCCACCACAGCAGTACCAGGCGGGCAACTATCCCCCCCAGACTTACACCACCCAGCCCTCTCAGCCTACTAATTATACTGTGCCCCCTGCCTCACAACCTGGAATGGCTCCAAGCCAGCCTGGGGCCTATCAGCCCAGACCAGGTTTTACACCACCTCCTGGAAGTAGTACCATGACCCCTCCTCCAAGTGGGCCTAACCCTTATGCGCGTAATCGGCCTCCCTTTGGTCAGGGCTATACTCAACCTGGACCTGGTTATCGATAAATAGGTTCAGCTACACTGACAAATGTAGCTGCTAGCCATTTGCCTCCGAAAAGACTCCAATACTATTTTATTTTAATTTGTATTGAAGTTCTGAAATTTAAAAGGCAGAGCATTTTTTTTTTATATCATTGTTGCTGTTAATTGAAAGCATAATTTGCTGGAACTCAAAAAAAGACCAAAAAGATTTTTCTTCCCCGGCTTAAGTATAGCAGCTTCCTAGTTATTTTGGAACACTACTCTTACATGTGTGTAAAGTGATTGACTTTCTAGCTTGCCTTGTTCAGAGGATATTAAAATGCTAGGTTGAAATTTAGCCATCTTGGCTTTTTACTATTAACATGATGTACTAAAATAGACCCTTTTGAGAAGACAGCTAGATGTATAAAATGTAACATTGACAGGTTAATAAACATGATTGAATCCATTTGTGCTCTTGTAATTTAATGTAGTATTAATATACATTAAAAGCAAGAAACAAATTGTTTAATGTTTGGTCTTAATGAATAGATATTTTTCAGTTATATTAACAGTATCATTTGAAAGATCAAGGAAAGCTGAGTAACTGATTTTCTTTATGGAGATGAATCATTCAAAAAATAAAGAACTTGGTTTTAAAAAATTACATCTCTTTATTGCAGGATTTATACTTGTTGGAGAAATATAACATATAGCATTGATAAAACAGAAGCATGTTGAAAGGTAAACACAAGAAAGGTCCTTTCAAAATAAGGGTACTGGGGTGACTTTCTCATCTCCCTCCCTCCCCAAATGAAGAAAAATACCCTTTAAAAGAAAAATTACAGGTTGGGTTAAACAATTGAAAAAAACCCTCAGATATGTTCACTCTTAGATGGTATTAGGTGAAAAGTACCGTAAATAGCACTTATAATGATAGGGATTTTACCACACAGTATTGTCTGTACTTAGATTTCACATTCAGTCTCTGAATACAGCTTGAGTAGAATATTGATATGAGGACAATTAAAGGAAAAGATTGACAAAATACATTCAGATGTTACATTTATGGGTAGAAAAATTATGAAGATTTATATTTTGAAACCATCGGATTCTCAATTTCATTTTTAGCTAAAGTAAAATTTTCTAATCCAGACAAAATCTCAATGCTTTCTAAATACTTAAACTCTATTAGCATGAAAGTTAATTCAGTGCTTCAAGAACACTATTCAGCTATTGTTAAGCAACTGAAGCTAAAATAAACATGAATATTAGGACATGGTCCTCCCAGATACAGAAGATAATTTTATCTAATAAGTTAACCTAAGTAGAGATTTATGGGATTAACACACCAGTAAGAAGATACATGCTAATTTTAAAAGTATTTTATGCTAACTTTGTCATAAAAGTATCTCAAAACATCATTACAACACTCGATAAATAATATACAAATGATCTCTTAAAATACCATGTCTTAGGGAGCCAGCTTCCCAAAAAATGTTATTCTGTTAATGTCTTGCTTTCTTAAAAATGACTTTGTAAAACCTGATAAATATCTTAGCAATCTTCTAATAAACATTTAATATTGCTATTATATTTAAAACTTTATACATAGTAAACAGTTTTAAATGAATGTGACAAATGCCATACTGTTTCCAATGAATTTTTTGCCATGACGAATCAGGAAGCACTGTTGAATATGATTGTGACATCTACCACTTTCCAGGAATTGTGGTCCCACATTCATACCATTGGACATAATTGATTTGTGTGTGGCCCCCAATTTCTCCAAATTGGACAGGTTCCTGGCGTACTGCTCTGAAATAGCCTGAAAGGAAAATTAATTGAGTTTTAGTAGCTGCTATTATAATGTCCTTGTTCCTAATAGGTTGAAGGATGTCATTGAATCTAGTTTTGCAAAACAAAATAATTTAGGAAGCAGATAGCAACAGAGGCCCTGGTATCTTCTCGAAGCAGTTATGGCTGACTGAACATCAGGAGTACCTGACTCTCCTTTATTTTGTTTTTTAAGCCACACCTAGCAGTGCTCAAGGGGACCTTATGTACTGCCAGGAATCATACTGGGGTCTGCTGCATGCAAGGGACGTGCCGTAACCCCTGTACAGTCTCTCCATCTCTCCTGACCCTTCTTGCCATCTACTTTAAGAAGGGGTGGTAAGAAAAAGAACTGAAAAGGGGTGGAGGGTTTTGTTACTCTTTCTGTGCCGTTGACAGTTTTCAGCATACTCTATACAGTTGACCCTTTGGGGTGTAGACAGAGTTTTCTTTCCAACCTTATTCCACCTTCTTAACCTACTCAACTTGAAGATGACAAGGATCTATATTTTTCTGAAGAGTCACATGATTTTCTCAATACTTTCTTTTGCTTTATTTTAAACATACGGTATATAGGACATCTAATATTTAGACTTTTTTAAAAAAATATTTTAATGAATTACCATGAGATACCATTACAAACTTACAAGCTTTTGTGATTATGTTTCAGTCATAATGTTCAAGTACCCATCCTTCCATTCTCTACCACCAGTGTTCCCAGTATCCCTCCCGCCACCCGCACCCCTTCCTATCCCCTGCTTCTCTGGCAGGCTCATTCCCTGTTACTCTCCCTTTCTCTCTCTCTCTCTCTCTCTCTCTCTCTCTCTCTCTCTCTCTCTCTCTCTCTCTCTCGGTCTCACTCTCACTCTCACTCTCACTCTCACTCTCACTCTCACCCTGGCTCTCCTTTTGTGTGTTACAGTTTGCAATACAGGTACTAAGCAGCCATCATTTTGGTCCATAGTCTACTTTCAGCATGCATCTACCATCCCTAGCGAGCCCTCCAACCACCAACCATCATTTACTTCGTGGTTCCTTCTCTATCCCAGCTGCCTTTTCCCCCAGCATGTGAGACTGACTTCCAGGCTGTGGAGTGATCCTCCTGACCCTTATTCTCTATTGTCCTTAGGTGTTGTCTCTTATTATGTTACTTTATATTCTACAAATGAGTGTTGTCATTTTATGTCTGTTTAGACTATGTCTTAATTGACTATTTACATAAAACTTCTGGTCAAGAGCAAGCTATTAAGGACTTTTTGGTAATCAAGTTATAGTTGGACTTTGATCTGGAAAGTTTCAGGGGAAAGTCAGGAATCCTAATCCTAATTATACTTGTTCCAAGCACAACTGTACTTACCCGGAAGTACACTTTCTGCATATTAGGTTATGAGAATTGGCCTCAGAAAAATGTGCTGTACTAAATAAAATGTTAGGCAAAATCTTCTGTTAAGAATGCTACAATTACGATTTAAAATTTCAGTGTAGAAGCTGGGAATAAAATTAAGTGTAAAACTGTGCCTTGCATATGTGAGGCTCTCATGCACCACAAAACCACCTCAAAAACCACCATAACTCCCCACTACTTCCTTCAACCCTGGATAACAGTAGCCACAAATTTTCACTATAAACCTTACATCATATAGAACCAATTTATAGTATATCCTATACACAATTCTTCTGAGGCAGCAGCTTCAAATTTCTATGAATGGGACCTCAGATCTTACGAAGTCATCTTTTAGTATGATTGCTATTTTTAAGTGTTTGTTAACAAAATTTGTAACTGGAAGGATTGGTTTAATGACAAAGTATTTAATGACCTTCTGGTGATTCATAAGTAATGCACGTTGAATTTGCCCTTTCCTTTGCTGCCTGGATGAGGATTAAATTTCAGTCTTTTCCATTCTTGTTAACCAATTTGGTTTCTGATGCTTCTTTCACAAGTGACAGTAGTTGTTCATTTCTCAGCAGACTAGCTCCTTTTGAATTACATTTATATAATTGTAGAAAATATTTTTCACATGATAGTAATAAAAGTTTCTAAATTTTCTTTTTTTTCTGTATTTTTGGGTCATACCTGGTGATTCTCAGGGATTACTCCTGGCTCTGCATTCAGGAATTACTATTGGCAGTGCATGGGGGATGATAACGGGATGTCGGGGATCAACCGGGGGTTGGCTGTGTGCGAGACAAACACCCTACCCACTGTACTACCACTCCAGCTCCAAGTTTCTAACTTTCGAAGGGAATAAAAAAAATGTGTCTGTACTTAAGTATGACATAAAACAATGTAAATGTCAGTTTGAATTTAAAAAACCATTTAAGTGATTATTTGCTTTTTTCAAAGTTCATTTTTTTAAGTAGAAATTTTTGCTTTTTGGGTCACACCCGGCGATGCACAGGGGTTACTCCTGGCTCATGCATGCACTCAGGAATTACTCCTGGCGGTGCTTGGGGGACCATATCGGATACTGGGAATCAAACCCAGGTCAGCTGCGTGAAGGCAAACGCCCTCCCTGCTCTATTATCGCTCCAGCGCCATTAAGGAGAAATTTTTATATCTCATTTAAATATGTTAATTTCCCTTGACTCCTAGAACCCTGAAGACTGGGAAGAGAATCAAGAGAAACTTTTGTTGGGCTGGAGCAATGGCACAATGGGTAGGGCGTTTGCCTTGCACATGGCCGACCCGGGCTCGATTTCCAGTATCCCATATGGTACCCAGAGCACTGCCAGAAGTAATTTCTGAGTGCATGATCCAGGAGTAACTCCATTGCATCGCCGGGTGTGACCCAAAAAGAAGAAAAAAAAAAACTTTTGCTAAAAGACTTCTCAGGAGGCCTTGTTTTTCTTTTTTTTTTCCCCCCAATCAGATGATTAAGAGAAGTACTACTGAATTATTTTTTAAAGTGATTGAATTCCTCACTTTAAGTTCTTTTTTGGGTTCATTTCTAAAACTCTCCGGTTTCTTAAGAAAACATACCTTCTTTAGTGGGTAACTGGTCAGAAGTGAGTTGCTGTCCCGTGCGTCCATCTAAAAATGAGTCCACAAACTGACAATGATCTTCTCCATGGCCTCTCTGGTCACCTATATTATAAAATTTTCCTGGAGAACCAGAAAGGAAAAGGATTGTAAGTTGTCACATTCTTTGAAACCACCAAGTTATTTCAAATAATCTGTTCTTGTACTTTTTACTCCCTTACCTCGTTGACGTCACCAGTTTATTAGACCCTAGTGTATGGAATATTCTCACAACCAGCCTTTCTGCTTTCACTCTCAGGTCTCTTTTCTATGAACTACTCCCAGAGGTTAGTCATCTTTTTAAAAAATGAAACTCCACAAACTGATTCACAATAGCTGATCCACAAAATTGAGTTTAGGGGGGTAGGTTTGAATGAGGAAACTTGGGAAAGGGAGGTGGGTACACTGGTAACGGGTGTGGTGTTGGAATTACGTACAAAAGAAACCACCATTAATAGTATTATAAATCACAGAAACTTAATAATCTTTTAATTTTTTAGAGCAACTCGGATAATGTTACCCCTTAAGATAAATCTCTCTACCCCTACCCTCCCTTCTCAGAATAGAACCCCAAAGTCTTGATTTTAAAGTTCCATGTGATTTCATGCCTGATCTTTCTTTTCTTACGCTTCTGCCACGCTTGGTGAAACTGGCAAGTTATGTTTGACCAAAACCACAGGACTTTGTATTTTTCTGCACTTCTCTTGATAATTGTTTGGTTCTCTTTCATGGTTTTCTTCAGAGAGGGTTTTCCCTAACAATTTTCTGCCTTTTTATTTTTTCTCTTGTGTCACATCCAAGTGAAAGAGATGTGGGGTGAGTCCTGGCTTGGTCTGGCAGTACTTGGAGGATCCTGTGGTGCCAGGAATCAATCACACTCCACCTTGCTGAGCTATCTCACCACCTCTCCCTGATCATTTGAATGAAAAGGCTTCTATAAACCTGTTTTTTTCTTATTTTCAAAACAACCCCCCAAATTCTCATTTACATAGTTGTCTCTCCTGATTAGACTGAAAGCTACAAAAGACACTGAATGTTTGTGGTCCACTGCTTTTTGTCCCTAGCACCTAGAATAATGTCTTACATAAAGTAGATATTTGATGAATGATTGAGCAAAAGCCATTCTTCTATTGTGCTGGGGGCAACTATATTTAAATGTTTTACTGTGTAAATATAGAAGAGTCTACTTAAAGTCTATTGAGTCTTGTCATAGCACTTGAGCCCAGTGGAGTTTTATTTAAAAAAATAAATAAATATTGAATCACTGTGAGATACAGTTACAAAGTTGTTCATGATTGGGATTCGGTCATTCAAGATTCCAACATCTGTCCCTTCACCAGTGTATATTTCCCACCGTCAATATCCCCAGTTTCCCTCCTGCCACTTCCCCTTTCCCCAGTCTGCCTTTATGACAGTCTCTCTCCTCTCTCCTCTCTCTCTTTCTCTCTCCTTTTCTCCATACCTGCCCTTTGGGTAATATGGTTTGCAAATAGAGGTTCTGAAAGGTATCATATTTGTTCTTTTACCAACTTTCAGCACTCAGTTCTTGTCCAGAGTGATCATTTCCAGTTATCGTTGTCATAGTAGTCCCTTCTTCCTTCTCCATCCTGTCTCCCATCCCCATCCCTCCCCCCCCCACCCAAGACACACACACACACACACACACACACAGTGGCAAGCTTCCATCTGTGAACCAGTGTGTCCAGTGCTTTTATCTTGATCATCATTTTGGCAGGCTTAGAATCTTAAAGGTGCCACATTTCTTCTATAAATGTTTATTATTAGGTTTTTGTAATCCTTGGATTGATATAACAAAATTCAGATTGAATGTGGCCAGTACCCGCACATTTAAATTTGCCAGTGATGGCACACTTTGAAATTGCATCTTGATTATTCACCAACTAATAGTGTATTTCAAGTCCTTGTTTTTTAAACTCCATAATTCCTATAACATCTTGCTCAAAAAAAGAAAACGTATTTACATCTCAGCTTCATATCTTGAACTGTTCATAGAAAAGGCCAGAACATGACTTTAAACATTTGATAGTTCTACTTACCTGTGAGGGAGTCGCTCAGGTAAATCTTGTATCTGAGGGAGTTGCATAGCTGCACCCCTACAAACTTTTTATACCAGGTCCTTTTGACATACTGTTTTCCTTTGCATTCTGAGTAAGAGTCAGAATTAAAGGGTCTTTCAGTCCAGATGGCATCTCTTCCTGCTGCATAAGGTAAAAACATGGTTTGATTTTAGTAACTGATGCTAGGTACTGAATAATTGTTCCAAAAGCATTTTAAAAAGCACTTTGCAAAGTTCACTGGCAATCTGTTGGTGCCCAATTTTCTCCAATGCTAACAGATCCCCAACATTATTGCATGTAAACATGAAAACCCTTAATTAAATTGTCAGAAGTGAGATAGATCCCAGTGCGTGTGTGTGTGTGTGTGTGTGTATATATATATATATATATATATGTACATATATATACACATATATATATATCTGGAGAGGGAGGGAGGGAGGGATGAGGAAGGAGGGGGGGGAGAGAGAGAGAGAGAGAGAGAGAGAGACCACCACAGTGCTATATGTAGATAAGATCCCTTTAGGAGAAAATTCAGGTGTGATTTTTTTTTTAGCATAGAAATTTAGAGCTGTTTTAATGTATTTTGTTATTGAAAGAAATGAGATGTGTCCTCCCCACCCAACGAGACCCCAAGTCATCGCCCACGAATGGCCTCTCTGGCTCCTGATCAAGCTGCTTAACGGCCATGATTTCAGAGACTCAAAAACAAATCTCGAAACCCAGCGGCTTTTGGCAGAAATACGTCCGGACCACGCAAAAGGTTACTGTCACCGGGCCACCCCAGGGGGGAAAGGGTGTTGTCTCTTCGCCTGCTCCCCCTTGGCGGCTCAGTGGCCGTCATCTTCCAGAGGCCATTGGACAGTCAGGTCTGGGCCCGCAGTGATGAAACTGTTGGGCCTCACAGGATGGGGGTGGAGCCGGTCCTGGTCTCCCGTCCCAATCAGACCACAAGTCATCGTCCACAAACGGCCTCTCTGGCTCCTGATCAAGCTGCTCAATGGCCATGATCCCAGAGACTCGAGTAAATCTCGAAACCCTGTGGCTTTTGGCAGAAATCCCTCCAGGTTTAAGTGTTAAAATTTCGAAATTTCAAAATCACATGGACCTACTGCAGCCATGCGACATCATATGTTATTCTTAACCAGCAATCGAACACAAATTGTCTACTGTTGCCTTTTCAGCAGATCTGAGTATTGGGGTAAAATCTCAAATAATAATGGTGGGTCTAGTGTCGAAATATTGAATTTGATCAAAGTAGAGAGAGAGAGAAATGTGGAAATCATCTGCCCCACATATAGGGGGAGGGTGTGGAATGGGGGTATACTGGGGTTTTTGATGGTGGAGAATGGGCACTGGTGAAGGTATGGGTATTTCATTGTATGATCGAGACTTAGACCCCAAAGCTTTGTAACTGCTCTCACAGTGATTCAATAAATAAAATTATAAAAAATGAAAAAAAAAGTAAGGTGGAGTTTATGCACAATTCAATCAGCTAATCAGTGGCTCCTAATAGCAGTACTCCTACATAAAAAAAAAAAAATAGCAGTACTCCTACATAAAAAAAAAAAATAGCAGTACTCCTACATAAAAAAAAAAATGAGATGTGATAGCCTCAAAATTATTAAAGAGAAAATATGAGGTGGCTGGCAACATGACTGAAGGCAGGTATCAAATTATACAAGATTTCTATTCTGTATTATAAACTTGAAGCATTTACATCTACTTAGATATTCTATAGGAGACTGAATGGACTGAGTGAAATCTTGACTGAAATTCTGACATGTTTATTGAGTTGGCAGCACAGAAACATACAAACACATTACACACACACACACACACACATTGCAGTTGTGTTTGCATTTAGACATTCACTTACCAGAAACTGGCTCACTCACTCTTGGGTCAGCTGAGAAGAAATAGTAAACACCAGTTAATTATTAGCTAAGTAAATCTCAGTGTTCAGAGGCATAGTGAAGGTGAAGGTTTCTTACAGTTAGGACGTCTTACATGCAATGTGGTACACTCTTGCTAGTGAGTAAGTATGAAAGTAATCTGCTCTCATTTGAGGAATAACTTTTGAAGGTATTCATCTGTATCTTGTGAACACAATTTGAGTAGTTTAGAATCTTTTGTTTGCCAGCTTGCTTTCATGTTCATTTTGAAAGTTTCCCCAAACTTTTCATGGCACGAAGATGCCATGAACTGAAGTTTGTATAAAAATTAGGCAAATAATAATACTGTGGGTACAGATGTATTTTGTTGAGAAATTGCATTTGCAGCCCAAATTAGAAAAAAAATCATAACTTATTGGCAAACTATCAAATAATTCCCTTTGTAGAGGTAGATTGGCTCAGTGTGCCAGTAATTCTGATGTTAGGCATATTACAGGGAAATTCATTCATTAGATTTTTTTACCGTGGATAGATTACATATTTTTTTTTCTCTCTAAACAATGTGCCTGGCTTACTATTTCTGCTGACAAATGAGGGAGAGCATAAGTGGCATTTCCATTTGTTTTTCAGTGATTCTTAAAATTAAGTGCAAGAAACTATACACAAAATATTAAGCGAGGTTTCACAAAAGCACCCTATGCCAAAACATTATGGACCTTTATATTCTTATTGGGAATTATCACTGCTATGATTACCTGATTCAGTACTGAATTTCACTGTATTGCTGACTGGGCCTTCGCCAAGGGGGTTTATGGGCTTCACCTGGAATTCATAACTGTGTAGGTGGAAAAATAAATTATATTTAGAGTATGAAACAACATTCCATTACACTGACATTCTTCCCTGGTTTTGTTTCAAGATCACTATAACTGTGAATCATCATACATTCTAGAAGTAGCTTGAAGGAAGAATAAAATTTTGCTTACCAGTTTGTCAAATATTTCGTTAAAAAACAAAAAAGAGATGTCTTTTAACCTCTAAAATTTGAAATAACTGGGTGAGTTGGTAATGGATACATAGAAGTCTGTAGTGGATATAGGCTAATTCTTGCAACCAGGGGTTTCAGTTTCTTTAAGATGTCCTAACTGCTTTCTAGGGCAAATAAACAGAAAGTCCCTTTTATTTCTTAGCATAATCCTGGCATTAGCCTTATATGCCTCTCATTATGGAATCTGGACTGTCTATATTTGACCACATGTTGGAGTGCAGTAAAGAAAGGGGTTAGTTTTTTTTTTTTTATTTTGTTTTGTTTTTCCTCCATCCTAGCTTGAGAATCAGTTTTTGAAGTCTTGATAGGAATGCCATGCACTGATATTTGAGAACTACTACGCTGAATAATGCATGAAAATATTCCATTACAAGCAATTCTGATGGCTGACTGGGCTATTCCCAGCAATCTAGGGAGGCAGACTCAGGACTCTGTTCATGCTAAGCGTGTGCTTCAGCCCTTTCAGCTCTTTTGCCAGTTTCTGAAACTTTATTTCAACCATAGACTTAGCAGCATATTAGTTTTGTGTAGTAAAGATAACTTGAGTCAGCTGAAATTATTGTGAGTTTCAAATATGTACAAAGCTTTCAGGAGAAAATTTCTGATTTTTTAAAATGGTATAATTGAAGTAGTATGCAAAACACACAAAAGAGATCTTTTGTAATCATGTGAATTACAGAATGGTGATAGATTTTTTTAAAAATTTTTTTAAAATTTAAAAAAATTTTTTTATTAGTGAAACACCATGAGGTACAGTTGTAGATTTACAATTTTTTTTGTGCTTGGGTTTTGATTATACAATGATCAAATACCCATCCCTCCACCAGTGCCCATTTTCCACCACCATGGATAATATCCATCCTACCCCCATCCCCCCCATCCCACCCTGCCTCTGTGGCAGGGCAATAGAAGGGTGATAGATTTTAATCTTAATCTTAATCATCTTAATCAAAGGTTACCAATAGAAATAACTAGAATTTCCTAGAGCATAATTAGATTCTTGATGGAGACGTTACATTAAAATACTGCTAGAATCTAATTCCTAAAACTGTTACCAATAGCTCTGTAAATCACTAGGAAACTTTAAAGAAGTATATTTTTAGCATTGTGCTAATGGCAGTTATATTTTTGAGTACTTACTAGTACCAGATACATTAATCATACTATTTATGTAAAGTAACATACTAACCACCAGTGATGTGATGCCATCTTATTAAATTAATGAGGTTTTTAACTATAATACTATGTTCTGTTCTTTTCTTAATGTTTAAATTTTGTGAAATGAGGACTAAGACATACCTATTTTTGTTTGGAAACTACATATCTCAAAGCATTTTGTAAACAAATTCACTGCTATAAGGTGCATTTTTATTTGCAATGATAGATTAAAAAAATAACACAAAAGAAAAACAAAAACAAAAAAAGCCCACAAAACTACCCATAACATGCATTTAAGTGAACACTTAAATGGGGCACTGGATATGGAATATTTTACAAAAATTGAATTTTTGCCCAAGGCCTCATTATTGTTAAACAATAAAGTGCCAAAATGGTGAACTGAAAATGGAAAAAGGAAAACACAAAGCATATGGATTCTGAGTCAAGCATTCCACGTTTCAGGCCACATCCCAAAGCCAGGTGCTATGGTTAAGTCTGATTGCAGAAATCACCATGTTTTTATTTCACAGTACTTAGACTTCAGCTCTAAGTATTGTGAAATAAAGAGTATGTATATATATAAATAAATAAAGAGTATAGTTAAAAAGTATAAATTAAAAGCTGTATAAGTAAAAAAATTATGTATGTATACCATATGGCTGTAAATATTTATAGGCTAATTTTTCTGTTTCTTAGAGTATATTTTGCAGTTTTGAAGCCATTTTAAACTGCGTTAAACAGCATGGTAAAGTAAAAGGTGCACAGTTTTGATTTAAGACAGAACATAAGTAAAATTTTCATAGAGGAAAAGGAACATTTAAAATAAAATGTAAAGAATAGGTAAAATTTCGATGGGATATTTGAAGATCAAGTTAAGAAATATTCATAAATTCCAGAAGAGAGTAATTTTACAATGAAGTAAAATGGGGACACTTGTAAGATTATTCCAGGGAATAAAATCCCAGTTTTGTAGATTCTAGGAGTGAGGAGAGGAAGTGGTAGGGAATTTTAGAATTTTTTTCTAGAAATTATATAATTTTTAAGAACTGAAGAACTGGGTTTCCACTATAAAAAGACAACATAGGAAGTATCATGCTAAGTGAAATGAGCCAGAAAGAGAGGGACAGACATAGTAAGACTGCACTCATCTGGGGAATATAAAGTAACAGAATAGGAGACAAACACCCAAGAATAATTGAGATAAGTACCAGGAGGTCTGCTCCAGGGCTTGGAAGCCGGCCTCACATGCTGGGGCAAAAGGCAGCTCAGATAGAGAAGGGAACACCAAGTAAAGGATGTTTGGAAGATTCGCTCAGGATGCGAGATGCATGCTGAAAGTAGACTGTAGACCAAACACTATGGCCACTGAATACCTCTATTGCAAACCACAACACCCTAAAGGAAACAGAGTAAAAGGTAATGCCCTGCCACAAAGGTGGAGTGGGATGGGGGGATGAGGTGCGGGGGTTGGGGGGGCTACTGGGATCATTAGTGGTGGGGAATGGGCACCGGTGGAGGGATAGGTACTTGATCATTGTATAACTGAAACCCAAGCATGAAAGTTTGTAAGTGTACAACTGTACCTCATGGTGTTTTGATCATGATCACGATCACAATCATCTTGTTGTTCGCCGATTGCCTCGAGCAGGCACCAGTAACGACTCCTTCTCCCTAGCCCTGAGATTTTAAAAAGTGCCATATTCAAGGCTCTTTCAGGTTTAGGAAGGAGAATGAGACCCATCATTGTTACTGGTATTTGGCATATTGGGTATGCCATGGGGAGTTTGCCGGACTCTGAACTGAAGAACTGGGTTTGGCCTCCTGAACACCATGAAACTGAACTGAACTGAACACCATGAAACTGAACTGAACACTCTGAACTGAAGAACTGCATATGGCCTCCTGAACATCATGAAAATATCAGAGCACTGAATGGCTGATGTGACCCCAAAGAAATAAGAAAGTCCTAATGTTTTTCCAGAAAAAAATGGAAAAAGAAAAATGAAAAAGAATACAAATTGCTTTAAAGTTTTAGAATACCAAGATAAAGAGATAAAGAAAATAGGTCTCAAAGAATCAGAAACATTGACTTGTTAGCAGTACTAGAAAAATTATTTTCAGTGAAGCAAAATAGTTTTATTTAAATAAATTCACTTAGAGAAATGGGAGGGAAGAGGGAGATTACATTCAAGAGAGAAAACTGGCTTCTCCAGAGTGGGAAAAAGCAACACTGGAAATCTGAAAACAATGGAAAAATGCCTTTAAAAGTATGGTTTATTCTTTAATCATTTCCTGTAGTATCACAGTCAGCAACTGTGTGTGAGCACCACAATGAAAGGGATATAACTCTTGGTGAGCACTGCTTAAAGATAAGCATCAAGCCAGGAAGTGTGGCCCTTTTACAAATGCCACAGAGACCCCTGATGAGCACTGTAACCAGAATGTACATGAACACAATCAAAAGAGTGAAGTCCTGAGAGAATAATATCACAACCTGATACACAATATGTGATGGGTACCACAAATTATGTACAAGCATCACAACCAAGTGTGTGTGTGTGTATGTGTGTGTGTGTGTATTGTAATCACTGCAATAAAACAATGAAGGGAGGGAATAGGGTGAATAATATAGGTAACAAATAAATAGTTCTTTAGAAGTGGATCAGAACTCTTGATAGCTGTTTCTCCAGGATGATGACATCTGCCTTTTGAGAGAAATGACTAGAAATTGAGTGTCATACTCATCAAACTATCATAAGTAGAAAGGCAATTACCAGATATCTGACCCATATGTAGTATATAAAGAAAGCAAAGGAAGAGACAATCTTCATTTAGAACAAACAAACTCTGATGCCAGAACTACGATTACTGAAGGTGTGGGCAATGGGCTGAAAGGGTGAAGGAGGTTCAATAAACAATGGTAGAAGAGGCCCATATACTATGGCGAGGAACAGATACTGGCACTTTGGTGATGAATGCAATAATACGCATTTTGAGGAGGTGAAAATTGGACCCCTAAAACAAATACAAAATTGTAAACCAATGTTATTCAATAAAAAAAAGAGGCAAGTGTTGTTTTTAAGGCATTTAGAAGACTTATCTTTTCAAATCTATATATGAACAGAGAAGTCCAGGTGGACAACTGCAGTACAGAACTGAGCCTCATAGATGACAAATCAAGTGACTAACTTGGGGCATAGTACTATGCCTGCTTCTGCCTGCGCATGGGTGGACCCAGATGAGACCAATCTTTCTGTGTCTGGACATTCCTTTCAGGAGCGCACACCATGCTGTGATTCATACATTCTGGAGCCAGAAACACTTGGGTTCATAGTTACATTATTATAGGACAGAAAGGTAACTTAAATGTTCCATCAGTTTTCTTCATCTTTGAGGATAATGATGAAACTGGGGAGGATACTCCTCATTATAACTTCTTAAGGATATAAAAGTGTCCGCTTTTACACATGGGGTGTAAGGATTAAAAGAGATAATGATGGAAAAGTGAGATGCCTAGAGTGATCATAAATGTTCTCTGGCATATTTCTGTTTCTAGAAGACTTTATTCCTCTAGAAATAGGAAAATTTGAGGAACACTGCCATCAAATTCTGAGGGCAGAACTTTTCTTTGTTTACATATTTCCATTTCTGCTTGTAAAGATTTTAACAAGGCAACAGACAATGGGTTATTGGGAAGACTGAGAATTTCAATGGTAAGCATAATATTTTTTGCCCATAATTAAGTAACTCTGGGATGGAGCGATAGCACTGCAAGTAGGGTGTTTGCCTTGCACACAACCAAACTGGCCGACCCAGGTTCGATTCCTCCACCTCGACAAGCTACTGAGAGTATCTTGTCCGCATGGTAAAACCTGGCAAGCTCCCTGTGATGAATTCAATATATCAAAAAAAAAAAAACCCCAAAAAAAACCAAAAAAAAAAAAAAACAACCCGGGAACAACAAGGCTCACAGTGGAGATGTTACTGGGCCTGCTCAAGCAAATTGATGAGCAAAGGGAGGACAATGCAGTGCTAATTAAGTAACTCTATAGACTAAGAAAAGACTTAGTCTTCATTTGAGTCTAGAAAAAAGTAAGTAAAGTAAAGGCCCTCCCGTTGATCACTGATTTGCTCGAGCGGGCCCAGTAATGTCTACTCAGAACAATTATCTCAGAATGGGATAATAGGCCTAGAAAAATGGAAAATCAGTGTGAGTGAAGAATGACATCATTCATGGAAGAGTGAAAATGTGGCATTTCAGATAATGGGATCCTTTTATAGTTTACAGCAATGACATAAACTACTAGAGGCTTCATCCTACAGGGTCTTGCTGAGTCTAGTCTTCACTTCCTATTGCTATGTCCCTTCCTCCCTTTTTCATACACAGGACAGAGAGAGCAATGCAGAGATAGGCCCTGGCCATCATTTGTGGGAGGCAAGCAAACTCAAGAGTAAAATCAACCACGCTCTGAATTCCAAATCTGTGTATTTAGCAAGTCAAAGCTAAAGGAACTTTTCTCTTTTATTCTTTAAGATGTATTGTGTCTAATAAAGTGATGAGGAAAATAGACCTCTGTTTAAAATAGACTCCTATTTTAAACATACTCACTCCAAGCAGGCTAATCTCAGAGGCAGAACCTCCCAAGAGGTAGTTGAATCTGGGAGACATGACATACCTCTGGGTTGCATTCAGGATGTCCTTAGGATGCTCCTAGTCTTGCTACCTGGGAATGTATGCCAAATGTGCTCATGGTCTTGAGGTGGTACAGAGCCTGCTTTGTAAATAGTATGCTTTGGAAATTCTGCTTCTGTACTTTTCTGCCAGTTGCTGCTAATGCCCCAAGCCTCGTGAGGTATTCTATAAAGTGAAGCTTTTGCACTTATTGGACCCAGTACCAGAGCAGGAGCTTGGCAAGATAAGTCTTCACAATACACCAGTGTTTTCCCACTTCTCAAGGTATTTTTTTTCAGGATTTCAATGTGAATTTCTGCAATAGGAAGCTCTCTCCCCTCTGTTAATTTTGCAAGAAAATAGAACCAAGATCATCAAGTGGGATTTTACAGAGATACATGCTGATTTCTGGCTAGTCTAAATCCTTTAAGGAAATTAGCAGATATAAAATATTCCATGTTACAACTCAAAGTATAGGACTTTAAGAAAAAAAAACATGATGAGGAAAAAGTCATTTTTTTTGCAGACTATGACTAAAGTTTATAAGTAGCAAAATCTATAATGAATCAGATATTTCCTTTTCCCCTGAAAGGATAAGAAAAATCTCCCTACTGTAGGATAGAAAATTGGTTCTTTTTGAGGTTCTGATTCAATCAACTGATGCCAATGAAAGATATAAGAAGTAAAATTTATGAATCATCTTCTGAAACGTCTTGAAGATATATATCAGGTACTTATTTTCTTACAATAATAAAATGAACAGATAGAATGTTAAGGTGTATTAGATTTAAAAGAAAATCATGCAACTTAACAGTTTGAACAGCATGGTAAATAAGAATGACAAAAAAGCTGTTTATAATATAACAATGCTAAAAGCATATAGCTCTGTTATTATTTATCTTTGATGTCTTTGTATATCTGGGATTAGCCCTGTTATTTTAAGCATTGACTGCACAAACTTCCACCCATGATTGTTACATGACTGTCATTTCCCTGCTTTCCCTTTTCAAGCATGTCAGCCAAATTCTCCTGAGCATTGAAGAAGTTCAAAGAATTATTTCAATTCAAATTTGAAGAGTTGAATCTGGTTTACATCATGCATACTCTACTTATTTCTGATCCACAGACTTTTTCTTCTCTAAATTTTAGTATTTAATATCATTACTATAATTTAGCACTTATGGCGTTCTATTTTTTTTTATTGCTGCCAACTTTACAATTAATAATATGACTATCTTGTCAGATCTTCTATCCCTACCAAGTAACTTGCATATTTGCAAAACAAGATTCAGGAGATTTGCTTATAGAAAGTCAAAGAATGAAATTTATACTAGATCATTCCTTAAGACAGGGTGGGGTGGTGATGTAATTTCATTCCTTTGTGTTGTTATGACTTTTGCAGTCTCAGAATATATCTGTTACTAGTGGCTTACCTTGTGTCTGGTTTTAGATTTTCTACTGCAGAAAAGGTTTGATTTGTAATTTGAATGGATTGGTTCTTCCCAATGAAAGATCCATTTTCTGTAGATATAACTTTGTATTCTGAAAAGAGAAAAAGTAAAAGACATTTGTCTTTCTGTTTTCGAGATTCATTATAAAAGGAAGCTAGCACTGTACTGTTCTCCCATTGTTCATCAATTTGCTCAAGCAGGCACCAGTAACGTCTGACAACAAATTGTAAGACTTGTTGTTACTGTTTTTGGCATATCGAATATGTCATGGGTAGCTTGCCAGGCTTTGCTGTGTGTGTGTGGGATACTCTTGGTAGTTTGCCGGGCTCTCCAAGAGGGGCTAATGATATAATAAATTCACAATCATAAAAAAATGAGCAATTTAAACTATAGTTATGGAGATTTACTAATCTTAATAGTGGGTTGCCAGATGGGGGTGAACAGTGGATGATTAAGTTCCCAAAGCATTTTGGAAGTTGCTCATTGGCCATTTGGATTATCTCCTTTCCTTTCCACCACACCTGGTGGAGACTGGCAGCTTTGTCACCACAAGAACAATTTATATCACACTCCAATTGGCTTTGCAAGGAAGTAGATGCCTTTAGGAAAACACCTTTGGCTTGGATCATTCCTCATCAGTTGTAATACTCTTGCTATTGCCCCCAGCCTTTTGGAAGTTCAAACTCTTATGTTGCACCCTCTAATTTTTTTGTGTTCTTTTTTGTTTGTTTTGGTGGGGGGGCACACCTGGTTATACTCAGGATTACTTCTGGGTCTATGTTCAGGGATCCCTTATCGCAGTGCTCAGGGGACTATATGGGGTTTTGAGGATTGACCCGAAGCTGGCTCCTTGCAACGCAAGTGCTTGCTATACTATCTCTCCAACCTTCCTGCTTTTACAAGTGGTCAGGGGACCATATGAGATGCTGGGGATAGAACCCAGGTTGACTGCGTGCAAAACAATAACTCTACCTGCTACCATTGCTCTGGACCCAAGAAAAAGATTACTAACAGAAGTCAATGTAGGGAGAATGAAGGGAGAATGATAAATATATTTTATTCTCTGTTTTCTTTCTTAATTCTTTCTTTCAAAACCATTTTAAGAGAGTTGAGTACTATCTTCCTAGTCTCTGAGTTGCTAGTTTATAAATTATTACATTAGAAATCCAGTGGGATTTAATGTAATGCTAAATATATAAATGAAAAAATTAAAATAATGCTTAGGGAAATAGGTTAGCATTTAAGTATAGATTTGATGAATCACTGTCACTGTCCTCCCGTTGTTCATTGATTTGCTCAAATGGGCCCAGTAACATTGTGAGACTTGTTACTGTGTTTGGCATATTGAATACATTATGGGTAGCTTGCCAGACTTTGCTGTGCGGGTGAGATACACTCGGTAGATTGCCGGGCTCTCCAAGAGGGGTAGAGGAATCAAACACAGGTTGGCCATATTTGCTGCGTGCAAGGCAAACTCTCTACCTGCTGTGCTATCACTCCAGCCCAGATTTGATAAATAATTTTAAATATGACTTTTCTAAATTTTATTTAGAAAATATATAGCTAAAGAGATGTGGGTTTTGTCCAAAAATTTATTATAAATTCCAAGACTAACGCCTGGTTTCTCTTCCAACTCCACCTACACATTTTTAGAGAAATTGGATGGGTGACAGCAAAACTAAAATTTCTAGAGATGAGAATATTTAGAAATATAATTTAAAAAACAATTTAGAATTTAGAAAAATTTCTCATAAAACAACTGAAGTAATTTTTAGTTCACTTGAAATATCCAGGTCAATATAGAAGTGGGTTGATAAAAGAAAAAGTAGTTTAAATATCACCAATGGGGACAACTTCTCATTTATTTCATGCAATTTTTTTGGTAATGAAAGACTAGATATATTTTTAGATTGTAAAAATCATTTCTGAGAGGAAAAAGAGGAATGCAACTTAAAAAACACTTAAAAAAATCACTGGAGTCCATACTAAGGACAAATACGATTCTTCATCATCATATGATACATGATAGTCCTGAAATATGCCTAGATATTCGTAGGTCTTAATTTGACCCATGTACCACATTTCTAACTTAACATGTTAGCAGAGTGTCATGCCATTTTCAGTCCCCATTCCATGATCTTACCAGTTACTGTGTCATTTTTTGGCTTCTCCCAATCCAAGATGACAAAAGAGGGGCATCCCTCCACAGTGACCACAGTGAGATTGGTAGGTGGATTTTGTGGTGGGCTGGTAATATTCCTCTCTGTGGCCTCCTCTGTGGGGAACCAGCTCACAGATTCAGTGATGGAGCAGGGCTTGTTGTCCTCCTTTGGGATGTATTTCACATGAGGAGCTAAGAGAAAGAGAACTCTGATACTTAGTTTTTGAGCTCGTATGGAGGGTAGAGGTGAAATCATAAATAGTTATCTGCTTGATGGCATGAGGGTCTTAGAAGTAGATGCAAACAAGTGATAGTGTGGTTGGCTAAAACTTGTGAAAACTTGATTCTTGTCTCTGGTATACATAACATTGATACTGCTGTGTATTTACCTTCTTAAATAGGTTTATTATTATGTTAATATCCAAAGGTTCTTTGACTCTCCTGAGTATGATTTAAGTGTCCCAATTTATGAAATACTCACTAATCGCCTTGTTAATGGGGAATAGTTCTAACCAGAGTTTTTATTTCACTGAAAAAAATTTTTCAAAAGTAAGCTCAAAGGATCAAGAAATATGGCAATATTCTAGAACAAATGTTCTAGAACACTTTATTAACAAAACACTATCCAGAACTCAACAAGAAAAATTTACAGGAAAATATTACCCCAAATGAGAAGAAAAGTATATAAATTTGAAGTAAAACTAGAACTAGCAGAAATGTTAGAATCATCAGGTGAGGACAATGAAACACTACAGTGAGAGACTATCACTGGAATCAGTTTAGCCAAAAAAGATTGAGACCTGGAAGACTTAAAAATGACACAAATCAAATTTCTAGAGATTAAAAACTAAAATTTATAAGGTATAAAACATTTGTCTGAGATATTAAGATAGTATCTGTAATATACTAACAGAACAAGAGATTCATAAATTTGAAGACAGTAACAAAAGCGACTCAAATAAAAATGAAGTAAGAAAAGTATTAAAAATAATGAAGAGTATTCTGAACTTTGGAACAATCTAAAGCTGTGTACTGCTTGTGCAATTTTAGTATTTGAGTGAACAGAGGACAGAGTTGTTGGTCCTTTATTCTGATCTCATGAAGATGAGAAATAGTCCAAAACTCAATCAATAAGAGCCCAGCAGTACCTGCTGCTAATAGCAGACCTTCTCAGCCATTTTCTTCAATGGATTATCTCCAGTTGAATTTTATACACATAGAAAACAAATCTTTAATATCATGTGCTGCTAAGATATTTGTGGTTGCTTGTTACATAGCAGTAACTGACAGATATCCATATTGTCTTGTCAAAATTGAGATATGGAGCCAATCGTACATACCTGTGAATATGGGTTTCCCAAGAGGATCAGTTTCTCTTGTTGGGCTTGAGCTAAACTTTGTGATGTTACCTGAGAATGAGATATAATAAGCAATTTTAGTAAAGAATAAAAATTATCCACAATGTAATGATAAAGTAGTAGTCTGTAAATACAAACACTTTCCCCTCAATTCCCTACAATTTTGATTTCTTCTATCACTGTGGACATTATCTACAATAAAAGATCTTTAATTGTGTTCCCATATTGGTTTTATGTAACTAAAAATTAAATATTACAACCAAGTGGTCAATATTTATTAATAAAGATATTCCCTTGGCCCTGAAAGAGCCTCCAATATGGCAGCATTGGTAAGAATGAGTAAGGAGAGGCTGCTAAAATCTCAGGGCTGGGACGAATGGAGACCTTACTGGCACCTGCTCGAGCAATTCGATGAACAAGGGGACAACAGTGATACAGTAATGTAATTTTTTACTCTATGTAGTAAAAATTAGTAATGGCTAATTTAAAAAAAGTAATGACATATTTTAGTAGTTACTAAATTGGGTAATCTATATCTCATTCAAAACAAATTTGGATATTTTCTTTTATGTCTGAAAAGGGAAGGAGCATGTTATTTGAAACATTAAAATTGAAAAATTTAGATAATACTTAGTATTAAAATTGAGCAAAATTAACAATTTGAAGCTGAGAGCCCTCCTATTTAAAAATTTTTTGGGACTTTGAAAATAAACAGGAGGAACTGACATACTAACCAGGATCCCCAGAGGCAGTAGCTGTAGGTTCCTTTTTATCTTTTTCTGTTCTCTCCAATGGGGCTCCAGTGGGTCTGAATGTTGCTTTAAAGGGTGGGGAAGTAACTTGTGCTGATGAAATCCCTGTAAAAGAGAGCCAAAGTAGTTAGGCTTTATAGGACATTGCCAAGTTCCCCATTTAGTTAGTCAATAAATACTTATGAAGCACTTACTGTGTAACTTGGAACTATATGCCTGGTTTATAAAGAAAATATAACTCAATGTCCTTGATCAAGATAGATGATACATGGATCAAATAAATTGAAGCTTTATAGAAACACACACACACACACACACACACACAAACAGTGTAATGTCACAGAGAGGACAGGGAAAAGGAATTGGAATATCTATGGCGAAAAAAGAAGGGTATTGTTGGTGGAAAACAGAAATTTCCTCAGGAGAATGCAAAAATACAGGAGAGAATTAATAGTCACAGCTTGCAAGAAGAACCAATCAGGGAAGCACAAAACTACTTAGTTTATTTAATTTGGAGCTAAGAGGGCTCTTGGCTGGGTCCCTGAGAGTTGATTGGCAGGGCAGTGGAGCATAACAGAACATGAGTAGCCTTGCATACTGTGAATTTGACAATATTTGTAGACAAGATTAAATAGGATGATGAATGGCTAGGCAGCAAGACAAAGAGATGGAAGGCGTTGCAAAAGCACTGGAAGAGGTTGAGCTATGGCAGAGTCAGTGAGACGCGATGGGAAGGGTTAGAGATGAGTGATATCAAATGCATGGAATGACCTGACAGGAAAGTACAGCGATGCAAGGAGAAGGACAGTTCTAAGGTAATGTCTGTGGCACCATTTACCATGAATTGCTATACTCAACACTGTCTCTTCCTTTCTAAAAATGCTCAAGGGTCTACAAAACTGGAATTATCCCAGGGTCCAGGTAATTCTAGGTACTAGTGCAGAGTGGAGGTCAGCTGCAAAGACTCAGAATTCCCTTGCTCCTGCTTACTCCTCAAGGCAGACATTTCCTTTAAGAGGACTAGTGAGAGAAGGCGTGCATAGGCCAGAGTGTACATCTCAGAAGTGTATCGTATTCATGGTTCATTTTCAGGTGAGGAAGTTGACTGTATGTGTGTGTGTGTGTCTATGTGTGTCTGTGTGTGTGTGATGTATTTTCATTGATGGGAGAAAACAAGTATTTTAGAGGAGAAAAACCAGAGTTCTTATTGGGGACACCCAGGAATCACTGCTGGAGATCAAGTCACAGCTGCCCAGGTTACAATTAAACTTAGTCTTCTCACCAGGCCATCTTCCTGAATCTTGACTCAGGAAGGAAGTGGAAGCCTCAGTGAGAGTCTGATATCTCGGTAATCTGATGAGGAAAATAATCTAGATCATAGATCATAAGATCTTTCCCACCACCATGCCCTGTTGTAGTTCTGCAGAAAAGTGATTTACATTCTTTTCTGCATAACACCCCCCTCCCCAATTATCTTTTACAGCCGTCTCAAACATTCTTATTTTGATTCAGAAAACTTCTAGAAAGTAGAGATGTGGGGAGAGGGAAAGATGGGGATCATATGATGATTTGCCGAGGTTCATTGAAGAGTCCATAAGAAAAATAGAGTGTAGCTTTATTATAAATTGGTCAGTTTCACTCATTGTTGATTTTATTCATTTATTTATTTGCTTGGGCATAGTGGGTAGGGCATTTGCCTTGCATGTGGCTGACCCGGATTCGATTCCTCCACTCCTCTTGGAGAGCCCAGCAAGCTACTGAGAGTATCCGACCTGCATGGCAGAGCCTAGCAAGCTCCCCATGTAGTATTCGATATACCAAAAGCAGTAACAAGTCTCACAATGGAGACGTTACTGGTGCCCGCTTGAGCAAATTGATGAACAACAGGAGGACAGTGTTACAGTGCTTATTTGCTTAGTGATTACTTCCTATATATGCAAAACACTGGATATGTTTCCAGAAATTCCAAGAAAATGTACAAGAATTTTGTTACCATAGAACTCATAGTCTAATTTGGAAAAACAAGAAGGTGAACAAATAGGTATAAAACATTTTCCTCTTTGATCTTAGAGAGGAATGTACTAAGGATAAACAGAAACAATGTTTAGACTATTCTGGTGAAATAAAGAAGGCTGCAAGAGTAATATAAAGGAATAGTATCTCAGTAGCTGTGAGGGGCCATTCTACAGGAAGGATGTAACACATGCTTAGATATAAAGAAGAAAGAGGCAAATTGATTCTAAGAAGAAATTTCTTCCTGTTGCACAGGCTAGATATGAATATTGCTACAATACTTTCCTTGAAACAATAATTATGGACCTAATATAAAGTACGGTGAGAAGAAAGCCTTCAAAAAATGCATAAAATTCCATTTAGGGAGAGAGAAGATAAGTAGATACCAGATAACAAATTTTTTCATTACTCCTGGAGAGCTGATAATACCACATCTCGTTATAGATACTGTACTTTGTAAAACAAAGCTCTTCCTCCAACACACACACACACACACACACACACACACACACACACACATCCTCCCACATCTTCTTTCTGAACTCCTAGTTCACAGCAAAGAAGTGAACTGACCCAGGTGAGCTGGAATGTTCCCTTTCTACTTACTCAGTCAGGATTAGAATAGTCCTCAGAGCTCTAATTTACACTGTCCAGTCTTGCCACTGTGGAAAAGGCATGTGTCACACCCAGACATGCACCTACACACACACACACACACACACACACACACACACACACACACACAGAATCACTTTCCCTAAGGGCTTGTTTGCTAGCTGAATTAGCTCACCAATGACTTGTGATTGGTGATGAAAACTGAAATTATGGAAGAAAATAAAGGAATATAACTCACATACCTGCACTTCCTGGCTTTCCATTGACATTATTTGGTGGCAAAGGTTTTCTTTGTGGGGGCAAAGGTCTAGGTGGCATGGGTGGGCGACGGGTACCTGGACTGGTGGCTGAGAAGGTAGATTACAGAAAATGCTGTCATAAGGATATACTATACAAAACTCACACATTCAGAACTTTTTGTTTGAAAAGCAGCTGTTGTATGACACTTTTTAGAAAAGTGAAACATTATTATGGTAAATATATTTGGCATTCATATAATTGATGTTGGTTATGTCAATTTAGATGAATAATAACAAGTGATAAAAATCACACTAGCATTATGGGAAATAAATATTTTTATAGATGAAGATATACATATAATCTGCCTATTGATAACTGCATAGATTATTAACATCTTTAGTTTCCCACACAAGGTTAACAGTAACATTTCTGAGATTCATTGTCTCCAATTGCCCTTAATATTGTGACTCATTTTTTTTTGGAGAGTACCAGGATCAAACCTAGGTTCTCATGAATGCAAGGCCTGTGCTCAGCTATTGAGCTACATCTCCAGCAAGACTGCAATTTCTTATATCAATTTAACTTTTAAATTTATCCTCTATTGTGTACTCCACCTCAGACACCAACTCTATATTTAAACACTCTGAGAAGTTCTCAAACAAATATACCATAAAGACCCTGACAGCAGGAGCAGCAAGATGAGTCCATGCAAGGTGTCTCACTAGGGAGGGTATAGCATGATACACAAGCAGCTGGCAGAGAGTGGTGAGAGGTCCTTAATAATTTTTAATTTGAGCACAGAGCTTTTTGAATTCACACACAGGTCAGAGTTTTGAAGTGTTTTCATAGTAACGTCCAGATGCTCTTTGTAAGGCTCTAATACTTTGGGGTCTTGCTGTTTTTGCTGTAACACGTGATACTGCAGCTACTACTTAAGTTGCAGAGCAGAGCCAAGTAAGGGAGACAGCATCTTACTTCTTACCTGTTTTTTTTGTGGAGTGGGGACTGTCCACAGACTCATTTCTTCCTGTATCCCATGGCTTTGGTGGTTGTTTCACTCCTATGAGCAAATGAAAGAGAATCAATACATAACAATCATATACTAAATGTTCTTCTTTCTGGAAACATGGGAATGGGCAGTAGTTCTTGCAGAGTGGAGAAATTCTCTTTGTATTCAAACATTACTCTCCGACCTGTATATAAAAAAATTCCAAATTCCTACATTCAGAATTATCATTTTGAAAAGATCCAGTTTTCCAGTCCATAAACTTTATATATTTCTACATTCATTTAAAACTTCTTTTCCTTCAATTCTTTTCTTTCTTCTTTTTTAAAAAAGATTTTGGGGTCACCCAGCCTTGCTCAGGGATTCCTTCTGGCTCTGCGCTCAGAGATCACTCTTTGTGGTCCTTAGGAAACCAGATGTGGAGCCAGTAGTAATAGAACCAGGACAAATGCCTTAACATCTTCACTATCTCTCACTCAAGACTTAATTTCTTTAACTAATGCTTTGTAGTTTTCAGTATACTGATCCTACACATATTTGTTAGAGATATATTTAAGTATTGTATTATTTGGATTTTATTGTAGTTGTTAAAATATTTACGGTCACGGTCCTCCCATTGTTCATCGATTTGCTCAAGTGGGCACCAGTAACGTCTCCATCATGAGACTTGTAGTTACTGTGTTTGGCATATTTAATACGTCACGGGGAGCTTGCCAGGCTCTGCCATGCGGGCGAGATACTCTCGGTAGCTTGCCGGGCTCTCCGAGAGGGGCGGAGGAATCGAACTCGGGTTGGCCATGTTGGCCACTTGTAAGGCAAACGCCCTACCTGCTGTGCTATCGCTCCAGCCCTTTAAATATTTAAATTATTAAAATTAAAAGTCCCTACATTTATCTGTTGTGATGGGTTCAATTCTTCCGCCCCTCTCAGAGAGCCTGGAAAGCTACAGAGAGTATCTTGCCTACATGGCAAAGCCTGGCAAGCTACCTGTGACGTATTCAATATGCCAAACACAGTAACACCAAGTCTCACGATGGAGACGTTACTGGGCCCGCTTGAGCAAATCGATGAACAATGGGAGAACAATACAGTGCTACAGATATTTTATCTAAGAATTAGATTTTGGCTGGCAATTGTAGTTTTGCTTAAACTTTTAGAGCTATCTACCCTGCATTGCCTTCTTGATTGTTTTTGCCTCATCAGAATTCTATCTCTTGTGATTGGTCATATATGCCAATACATATAGGTATATTTTGTAGTTTTAAAGGAAATTGTTTGAGAGGCTGTAGCACATGCTTTGCTTTTGAGGGGCCTGGCTTCAATCACCACATATTCCTGAAGCACCAGCAGGAGTAGTCAATGAGCCTTGCTGAATGTGACTCCCACCAAAAATAAGGTAAAGGGACAGTGAGAGGAAGAGTAAAAGAAGAAAAGGGGGGTGGGGAGGAGAGCAGAAGGGAAACTGGGAATATTGGTGGTGGGAAATGTACCCTGGTAAAGGAACAGATTATGGAACATTGTATGACTGAAACCCAATAATGAACAACTTGTAACCATGTATCTCACGGTGACTCAATAAAAATAAACAAATAAATATGGGGTAGGGGAAGTTACTCATTCCATGATTACTTTGTGAGTGGCATAGAAGAATGAAACATGCTTCCATTTGTGTCTCTGTGATAACTTGGCTTACTGAGATTAGATTTACCACTATTTTTGAGGGTAACCATTATAGTATATATTTTAGAAGGCAAGAATGCTCTGTGCCTTTAGCAGGGCATTTTTCACAGATGTTTTCAAAACTTTCTGCTTAAATTTTTTGAGCCAATATTGTACAGTTATTTTATATATCTGTATATAAAGTATATGTCTTATATGCACATTATTGGATTTTAATCCTTATAATACTTCTGCATGGGAGGGTTCACCAAGATATGATAGATAAGGGAAACCCAAGGCAAGGGGAGATGAGCAAGTTGCCCAAGATACATGATTAGGAACGGTTAAAATACATGGTTACAAGTTGTTCATTATTGGGTTTCAGTCATACAATGTTCCATAATCTGTTCCTTTGCTAACATACACCTGACTTCAAAGCCTGTATCCTAAGCATGCATTGACAATGCACAGAATACATTCTTATCATTATTATATGATACCCTCTGTTATTCCTCACAATGACTAAGTTACTAAGAGCCCTGGAGCTCCTACACTCCATCCTTTGGTGGTCTGAGGCACCATTACTATGTAAGGGTGAAAATGCAAATATGTTTCATCAAATCATGTCACTGGTGTGAGGTACTCAGATCCACCATCCCACAACTAGTTAGAGGTCTAGGAGAGAATCTAAATTTCTTTCTTTTTTTTTTTTTTGCTTTTTGGGTCACACCCGGCGATGCACAGGGGTTACTCCTGGCTCTGCACTCAGGAGTTACTCCTGGCGGTGCTCAGGGGACCATATGGGATGCTGGGAATAGAACCTGGGTTGACCGCGTGCAAGGCAAACGCCCTACCCGCTGTGCTATCTCTCCAGCCCTGAGAATCTAAATTTCTGAGAGGCAACTCTATGAGTTAGACCACACTATAAATCTATGAGTTAGATTTTTGGTTTCTTTTCTAAGGGAGAAATCAGGAGAAATGAGGCATTTTTCAGTCACTTTCTATGTAGACATAAAAAGAAGCATCATTCTGTTATAATCCTGAAATCTAAATAACCAAATAATGTCAGATGCTAAACAGGACTTTCTTCCACCTTTTAAAAATAGATGTAATACTGTGGTCTATGAAAATACTTCACAGTCCTACACAAGGCAGACAGAGGTTCAGGGAAACAGCATAGAACTGGGAATAAGAAACTTAACTCCAGTTATGGCCTTATGGCCTTGTTTCTACCTTGCTGTGGTTTGCATATCCCTTAGGCAATAATATTAGGACCAGAACTATGACAGCAGTGAAATCCATTGATCTGAATCAGTGGAGAGCAAATAAAGGTCACAGGAAGTAGAGGCAATGGAAAGGCAAAGGAGGAAGTCAGGAAGAGAGAGATTGCAGAGAACGAATTCTTAGGAATTGGAACCTAATCAGTAATTCTGGCCCAGACTCTGACCTAAATTCCTTTTCTCACAAAGGGGATTTACCAATGTATTTTCCAAAGGGTAGAATAGGTTCTGGAAGCATCAAGACTTGAATTTCAGCATAACCCCCTTGGGCCCTGAATTGTCATATGGGAGTTCTCCAAATAGGTCTGGATTTACATAGTTTGCTTCTTAGCAATTCCTTGTCAGAAATGAAGTCATGATTTCATAATTTTTAACCATAGTAACAAAAACCTTTACAAACAAACATAGTAAACTGAAGATCAGTTTTCAAATGCATTGAAGGTACTATTCCACTGTGGCCTGAAAGGAATGGTGTCACCCATGGATGATGCCATGGATGATACCATTCATGGATGATACCATTCCTGGATGGCACCAAGTTTTGTACCTTAGTAACTACAACAGAGCCCTTACTGAAAAGGCAGGTGTGATCAGCCAATAGACAGAAATGTAGTTCAGGAAAGATGTAAGCATAGCCCAGGAAATCATTTCTCATCTCTAAGTCTAGTTTCTAGTTGTCAAGCATAGTAAAGTATGAGCGGGCAGTAAAGTATGGATTTCTCATTAGGATGCAAAGGAAAGAGTCTGAGTATCTAATATATATTCCAAACCTCTTGTGTTAAGATGGACTTTAAATCATACTTTGCCTGACATAGAATACCTTCAACAAATGTTGGTTCTATGGAAGAAAAGCTACACAACTCAGTAACTTTTCTCCATAGGAAGACAGTTGGAAAGATTTTCTAACCCAGGGCTTGGCAAGTTTATTTGTTGAAAGTCAGACTAACAAATTATTTTGGATGCAAGAACTCTAGTTTGTCCTTGAATTGCAAAAGCAATCTATATTTCAACAAAACTTTATTTGTATAAATAGTAATGAGTCATGTTCAGCTTATGGATCTATTGTGCAAATCCTTGCTTTTGTACATGCTTGCTGCAGTTACGGAGTCATGCCTTAAGTTGGTTATAATCTGCAGAAACACATCTGCTAAGCTGAAAATCTGAAACATATTTCTGAAACTGAAAAAGCAGAGAATTGGAGGGCAGAGGAAACTATTAAACGCCAGTCTCTGAAAGCTACTTTCTAACTCTAAGGCAGAAGGGTACTTATGCATATAGGTATAAAATGCACTCAAGCGTGGTGGAATGTTTATAATGAAGTAATAAAATGAGAAATTTGGTTTTAAATATTTAAAATTCCTGATATTTGTAGAACAATTGTTAGATTTATATAGAGGTTTATCTAATTAAAGTTCTATAGTTCTGAGACCTCAGAATCTTTCTTTTTTAGCCTTTCAAAGGCACAAACTTAAGTGGCCTAAGACATTGGAGAACATGTTCTAAAAATTACAGCCAGTTCCTTTATCAACTGCTTTTTTTGAGTATTAAATATCTGGATTGAAATCTACAGTAAGAAAACTTTAGGGATGAGAGATGGATAATAAACATTCTGTGCAAGAAGTTGAAAATGGATAATGAATCAGTTGACAAATAATTTCTCATTAAGAATTAAAAAAGGCTAAAATAAACAGAAACTTCCTAAAGAAGAAATGCTAATGGCCAAAAGGAACACATAAAAATGCAGGAAGATGTAAGTCAAAACAATGAGATATCAACTCACAGCACAGAGTCTGAAACAGATCAAAAAAGAACAAGAACAACCAGTGTTGGCATGGGTTGAGGGAGAAAGGGACTCTGATTCATTGTTGTTGGGAATGCCAACTGGTACATTGTGTGACTGAAACCCAACTACGAACAACTTTGTAACTATGTATCTCATAGTGCTTCAATAAAAAAAGACAACAACCCCCCCCCCCACAAAAAATATACAAAAGCTAGATGTTCATGTTGATAAGAGAGGGTCTAGGCCAGAAAAAAGATATTAACACCTATATCTTCATGAACAAATCAGCTAAAACCCATGTATAATCCAAGTAGGGGTTTTCTACAACCTGA